ACCTAGGTATAAATAAATAAAGTGAAACCCATCCAAAGAAAAAGATTAAAAACAGAAAATCAAAGCTGGAAGCTTTGCGCTTGGCCCGGGGTGGAAAGGGCGGCTCCCGAGGGGCCGCCTCCGAGCCGCCAGGTTTTCATTCTCGAATCTCTTTCTTCTTTGTGTGTGTGTGTCATTCCGGTTGGGAGGGGCGGTTTCGCGTTCCACCTTGCCCGATCTTTGGGTGGAGTGGTGGAAAGAAAAGGAGCGTTGGAAACACATGTGTGTGCATTGAACAGACGTGAAAAGCCAGCGTTGACTGAGTGCCGACCACGCGCCAGTGGTTGTTGAGGGAGCTCCTGTCCCACTGGAAACTGAGGCACAGAGCAACAGCGAAGCCTGCCTAGGACCACTGAGCTTGTCGGCGGCCTGGCTCCAGGGTTCTAAGCCCTTCGTCATGCTGCTCCTCAAATACACTTGAAGACCCACTGTGTGCAGGAGCTGAGTTAGCACTGGTGCGGGCAACATGGTCCAGGGAAGAGACAGTTATAGGGCTGTGCGACTTGAGCTGGGTCGAAAGGAGTCTGGGGTGGATGTGGAGCACCCAGGAGGGCTTCCTAGAGGTGGTGACCAGTAAGTTGAGGCTTAAAGTTTTGTGAGACTGAGTTGGGGACAGTGACGTGCAAGACCAGGTAGAAGAAGCAGGTCCAGTCCCGACTCCAGGGCTCGCTGGTGCCTCGGTGCCTTCACCTCCAACAGGTGCCAGCCCAGCCGGGGCCCAGCCACTACCTCGTGGACTGGTTAGCAGACGAGATGAATGGAGAGTAGGGAAGGTGTCTGGCACATAGTAGGTGCTCAGGAGATGTTAGTGACCCTCTTCCCCTTTCCCAGTGACAAGCAGGATGTTTACTGTGACCTGAGGGTACAACCTGGCGGCCCCTGGCTGACCCGCAGAATTTGAATTATTTGTTGACATTGATAAATTGGGAGATTCTACACTAAACCCCTATTTCCCACTTCACTTGAAGACCCCTGAGAGCTAACGTCTGCGGCCGGACCCCTGGGGCCCAGTGAGGAGCAGCGGCCCCGACGGGGCCCTTGTGTTGTCGAATGCTCTCCCTTGGCTCTCTTTGCTGACCTGGCCTCCACTCCCCCATCTCTGACCCTCCTGGTGCTCCCCAGCCTGTGTCCACTGTGTAGCCCATGGCCACGAAGTGGCGCCCCTGGGAGGTGGACACGGGTGTGTGTGGCCGGCGCCGGCTGCCCCGTGGCTGGCTGCTGGGTTCCGTGTGGACAGCGGCCGACACTGAGCGTGGATCCCCTGCCACAGGGTCGGGCCCAGTCCCTTTGAACGCCCACACCCACCGCACACTCCCACCAGACATCCGATCTCTCTCTGTGACTCAGGACAGCTGGGATTTCACGTCTTTGAAGTGCTTTCCTTTCTGGCAAACGGACCGGTACTTTGCAAACCAAAACATTCCTGGGATTCATGGAAAGCCACTCATCTGGCCGAGAGGGGTCCCTGGGGAGAAGCCGTGGTTCAAGAGCAGCGCCCCCTTCCAGTCATCTGACTGACCCACAGACGGGAATCGGGTCCAGACTGAAAGCTCCTCAGCCGAGTGCCCCTCCAGGAACCCAAGCTGCAAAGAGTCGCTGAGTCCCGAAAGGCATCTGAGAGCCTGCCCGTGGTTTGACGTTGACGTGGTCACCATGGTCGGCTCTCAGAATTCGGCTCTGCTACGTCACCCATATGCTTTAACAGAGCCTTGAAGTTTCTTCTCTGGATTCTTGGCATCCTTCAAGGCCACACTCACTTGCTGCCTCCTCCAGGAAGCCTTCCATGGTTCTTCCTGGGATGAGGAACCTCGCCTTCCTCTTCACCTCCCATTTCTCAGCTGGCACCCCTCTCGGAGCCCCTGTTTACCCACACCTGCCACCCACCACGGAGCTTGTACTCCGAACCAGGAGCTGGGTGCTCTCAATCCCCCTTATTCCTCAGAACACCTCTGGAGGCAGGTACTGCTGCCCCTCCCCGCCACTACAGATGGGGAAACCGAGACTTAGCAAGGTGAGAGGACTTGCTCCAAGCCACACCCCAGCATGTGGCAAAGTGCGATTTGAACCCAGGGCTCTGTGACCACAGACCCAGGCTCCGAGCAGCCGGCGGCCGGTGGTCTGCATGGGACCCCCTCCTCCTGGCCAGCGTCCTTGTTAACCTCAGGGCGTCATGCGTGATCAGCCCCTCGGGAGCCCGCAGCTGAAATGGAACCTGGGCGGGGCTGTGAGAGCTTCTCTCATTGATTAAGGTCATGAAACTCGGGCCCTGGGCCCTGTTCCGAGTTATCTTTGATGTTCAAGGGCGTGTGGAAATTGCTGTTGCTATGTGACCCAGTTTCTGGGCTTTGAAAACGCCGATCCCTTTCTCCCTCCCCTCACTCTGTCTTGGTGCATTTTTTCACGTTCCCCTCTGTCCCTCCCGCTGGTCTCATGTCCACGTGCGTGGACGGCCTGCACGGCAGCCTGGGGCTTTCCAAGAGGAGTTGTGGGCTCTCGATGCTGGCTCACCTGCGTGGCTCACTTGTGCCCTGAAGCCCACCTGTGTATCCCTCCGCTTACAGAAAAGCGGGGTCTCTGTTCTTCCTGGCTGGGAACATAACGGTCACAGCTGGCCTTGACTGGCAGGGCCTCCCTGGCCTCTCTGTGCCCGCTCCGTGACGTCGGCCCAGAAGATGGGACCTGGGGCCCAGGGTCCTCTGGTACACCCGTTTTACCCACGTGTGTGCACGCCTTTGTCTATGTGAAGACTGTGGAGAAACCCTTTTCCTCCTTCCATTTCTGTCTTCGAAAACTCTTTTCTGATTAAATACTTTGTATTTCGTTATGGAATAAAAATAACGGCTGAAGTTTTTTTGTCCCTGTTGTCTAACATGGCCCGGGCGAGCTGTGGGGGTCTCTGCAGGTTTCGTAGGGCAGGGAGGCAGGGGGTCTCACCGGTGCACCTGCTCACGGTTTCCCGTGAAGGCGCGGCGTGCTGGCTGCCTCTTGCACCGAGTTCGGCTCCGGCTCTCGGGATGGACGGCCGGGGGGCTGAGGCGGGGTGAGGCGGGGTGAGGCGGGGTGCACGCCACCCGCTGCGGGGCTGGCTTCCAGACCGAAGTGTCCTGGCAGGGCCCACTTTCTCCCTTTCTTTCCACTGGTGTTACCATATGTGTAACATAAAACTTGCATCTTCACTATTTTTAAGGGTATAATCCAGGGGCCTCACGTCCATCCACACTGTGCAGCCCTCCACACTGTTCGCCTCTGAATGTTCTCCTCTCCCCAGGCCGAAGCTCTGAGCCGCTGAGCGGCAGCCTGCCCCTCCCTCTCCCCCAGCCCCTGGGCCACCCTCCTGTCCATCCCTGGGTGCGGCTGCTCCAGGGGCCTGGTGTCGGTGGACTCAACAGGGTCAGTCCTTTCGTGTCCGCCTGCTCTCATGACATCCTTGGGGCTCACCGGTGCCATAGCCGGTGTCAGTGTTTGCTCCCTTTTTACGGGCCGATCACGGTCCATCGTGCGGGCGGACTGCAGAGCTGAGCCATCGCCCAGCTGTGGACGCTCGGGCTGGTTCCACCTTCGGCCCTTGGGACCGGCGCAGCCTCGAGCCTGGATGCGCTTGTGAACAGCCTTGCGTCGGGGCCTTGACCGACGTCGGAAGCCAGTGTCCTGGGGACCCACTGCCGTCGTGCTCGTGAGGGGGCAGAGGGCAGGTAGTCCCCAAAGCTGGGTCTGCAGCGGAGTCCCGAGAGCCCGCGTGTGCCCAGCTCCGGGCTTGGGACCAGACCAGGCTCCCTGTCTCCCCCACCCCTTCTGGGGGCCCGGACACTCAGGGGACACAGCCTCAGCCAGGGCACTGCCGGCCAGGGGCGATCTCCGTGGCCTGCCAGTTCCCAGCCATTGCTCCGCATCCCCCTGTTCCTCTGTCACCTGTCTCTTCGGTGCCTGGGTTGGAGGCGTTAAAGGTTCTAGGTGACAGTGGTGTTGAAAGAGGAAATAGGTTTCCACCTCTAAGGACGTCTGTCAAAGAGGGGAAGGCCCAGGCACTTGCCACTGGCTGTCACCGGCGGACCGGGCTGGTTTTGTTGGATGTCATCAGGGACCATGAAAGGCGGCAGGTGCCCAGGCCCAACCTTGCACCCAGTGTATCTGACCTTGGGGCTGCGGCTGGAAACTCACCAGCCAATGGGGTGGAAGTCACAGTCACAGTCACAGTCGGTAGAAGAAACAAGGGGCCAAAGGTGAGGGTGTCAGTGCCCCACGTGTCGGGGGCGCCCCCTGGTGGAGGTGACTTCGGGCGTCTGCCTGAGTGCTCTCTGCTGCAGGGAGCGAGGGATCCTTCCGCTGCCCTGGGCTCCACGCCGTGCTTCCGGGTGCCCCGGGTTCTATGGACCCTCCACCCCGACACACATGCAACCGGGCTCTCTGGACAGGGGGCCGTGGTGCCTCCAATGTGTGGCGAGCTCTGGGCTCCCGACCCCTGAGCTCAGATCGTCAGGGCTCTGTCCCCACAAACATGGCCTTGAGAATGGTGTTGCTTTCATCTGTGCACTTGCCCAGGTGTGTGTTGGGAGAGCCTTCATGCCGGGGGTCACTGTCGTGGGACACAGCTCTCCAGGGAGGGACGGGGAACCCTGCCCTGTGGCTGGGACCCCTGCTATGTCCCTCTTAGCAGCCTTGGGCAGCCCCGGAGGCTTCCAGAAGCTTCCGTGTCTTAGTCACGTACTCTGAAGAGCAGTGCAAACAGCCTGGCAGGGCTTGGCAGGGACGGGGACGTGTCTGGCAGGGGAGGACTCGCAGCACATGTTCCCGTTCGGATCCCTTCTCCTCAGACTCCTTCTGGGCGACGGGCCATTCTCGAGTGTTTGTTAAATGCTTAGAAAAGCAGGAGTTGATTTCTCTTTGTGTGCGCTGCCAGCACGGGAAGCCGCGGTGTTCGGCTCACACTAACCGGTTTTCCCTTTTCTCCTTCTGCCTGACAGTGAGTGACCTGCAGGAGGAAGGCAAAAATGCCATCAACTCACCCATGTCCCCTGCCTCGGTGGACCTGCACCCTGAGGACACCCTGCTAGGTACGGGGGCCCCTTCCTCTCCCAGCCGTGAGACCATGGTGGGGGACCAGGCCTGGAATGGCGGGGCGGAGCGGGGGGCAGCACAAGGGCAGGTACCAGGAGGGAGAGTCCAGGCCAAAGCCCGTCTGTGGTCTCCCTGGGCGGGAGAGGGTGAGGCGGCGCGAGCTGCTCAGGCCTGGCTGCTGTGGGAAGCTACGGGGAGCTCTGGGGCCCCCAAGTGCTGGGGTGCCTGAGCCTGGCCCTGCCAACCCTGGGGAGGCCGCTGTCGCCTGGGAGTGTGCAGCCAGGCAACCGGTAACCCAGCGGCTGGGGGGTGGGCCCTCGCAGTTTTGCACGGGAAAGGCCAGCGCTGGGCAGGTGCGGGCTCTCTCGGGAATTAGCTAGTCCCAGGAGGGGCAGCCTCTCCGGTCTGCAAGGCCCCACGAGGCCCCCAAATGTGAAAGCATCGGAAAATAAGACACACGAGGGACGTTCCCCTCCCAAGTCTCTGTGTAAGTGGGAGCAGTTCCAGGCCTGGGGCCTGCTGGGTGGGACCGGCCGAGGGCGCCCTCGTCCCCGGGACCGTGTCACAGCCCAGCACTCGTGTGGCCGCAGCCTGGACACGCTGTGCTGAAGCGTGTGTTGGGATCTGACCGACCTGGAAGGCGGTGGCGGAACATTCTGTTGACTTCCAAGCCCTGGTTCAAAGGGAAAATCCCAGAGGGCCTCTCTGCTGTGGTTTCCACGGCGAGGCCCGGCCGCGGGAGCGTGTGGAAGTGCAGGCGCACACTCAGCCCAAAGCCGCGGGCTGGCCACGCTCCCGCGGTCCCGCGGGTGCGCTGAGGTTCCTCCCTCTCCTCTTGGGAGAGCACGGCTCTTCACGGCTTTTCCCTGTTGCCACGGCCGACCCAGTGGACGCCCCTGGGCCACTCTGTCCAGGAGGAAACTGGGGATCAGCTTGCAGGTCTGGCGCTGGGCCCGGGTTCGAGCAGGCCCCTCCAGGGCAGTAGGTGCCGGATGAGTCCTTGCTGTGGGGCCGTCCTGTGCCTCGTGGGGTACTCCTCGGCACCCCCAGCCTCTGTCCTCTGGAGTATCCCCTCCCCCCTCCAGTTGGGACCACCAGAAACCCAGGGCGGGGCGCACAGTCACTCCCGGTGGGGAACTCTGCTCTGGCCCAACAGGGGCAGAGGGTGGGTTTGTCCTCAGTGTGCGGCAGACTCCTGTCTCATCAGCCTTGAACCTGCCTGTCCCTGGGCCCCAGCCCCTCCTCTTGTCATCTGTCTAACTAGCTGCCCTGCGGGCTGGGGGTCGGGTTCTCCAGGTTGCTTCATGGGGTCCCGTGGCCCCTGAGGCTCAGGCAGCACCTGGGGCTGAGCTCTGAAGGGTGAAGGCGTGCGGGGTGGGGGAGGGGTGGCCGGCAGGGCGTAGCGTGTGCCAGGGCCCCGGGGCAGGCGGCAGGGAGGCCTCGGAGCCCCCGTGGAGGACGCCAGCCTTTGCCCCAGAGAAGCAGGAGTCTGCTGGGGGCCTCAGCAGGGACATCACCAGGCCCCCGTGTGGCCCCCACGTGGGCCCCTGTGTGTCACCTGCAGTGTCCCTCTCAAGCACCAGGTCTGCACGTCTCCAAAAATAGTTTTCCTCCTCTGTCAGGCGTTCAGATTTCAAACTCCTTTCATTCCCACCCACACGGACCGGGACCCCCACCCCATGGAAGCCTGTACAGGCCCCCAACCCCAGTCTGCACCGCTTCCAGGTCACCTCCCTTGTGTGTCCTGGGGGCCTGGCCCCTCCCGCAGCACCCGACCCCCGCCCTGTGCCCCTTCCATTTCCACGGTCAGTTTGTGTGTGGTGCGGCTCCACTTCCTCATTATCACCTCGTCACTCGTCCTGTGACGAGCTCACAGGTCCCCTGCTGTGTCTGGGTCAAGGCCAGAATGTGGAGGGAAAGACAGACAGGTGAATAAATATGCGGAATAAGGATGAACACATTTTGTTGCAAAACATAACCTCTTTTTTTTTTGCTCTTTTTCCCTTAATATTTTTTGTTCCATCCTCCCCACAAGACAGGGGAGCCAGTGAGGGGCGAGGCTGGCAGAGCGAGGGGGGAACTGCATCTCCCTCAGGGAGAGGAGAAGGTACAAGGGTGCCACCATCCACCTTCTGGTCGGCAGATCCTGCCCTGGGCTGTCACTCCACGTGTGGCCAGTGTGACTCCTCCTCGCAGAGAAAACACAGGGTTCTCTGCTCTCAGCCACCTCCCCCCTTTGTGCTCCGCTGCCCCCGATGTGCCTGCCCCGCCCCCCGGCTGACCTGACCCCCTTGTCCTTGGCAGAGGAGAACGAGGAGCGGACGATGATCGACCCCACCTCCAAGGATGACCCCAAGTTCAAGGAGCTGGTCAAGGTGAGGAGGGGCATCCTGGCTGGAGCATTGCTGTTGGGGGCAAGCACGGGGTCCGGGCTCTTGTGAGGAAGGGGCCTTCCCGCCGTATCCGGTGAGGGACGCCACGTCGGCGAGGAGGCGGAGTGGAGGGAGGGGCCCAGGTCTGAGCGAGGACGCCTCCCAGGGGCCTTCACAGCTTACGCCCTGCGCTGGGCTGGGGGAGCAGCCGGCGGCCTCTCGCGGCCCCGTGCCCATGGTGCTCAGAGGTGGCCGACCTTGCCCAGGTGCCCCTGCCTCTGCTCAGCGACCGTCTGGTGCCGACACCCCTGCTCTGGCAGACGGTGGGCTTCTGCAGCGTCTGGAAGCACAGGCACGGGCTAGACGAGGAGACGGCTGCACGGTTCCCCAGAGTCGAGGGTGCGAGGACAGGAGGGCTGCTGGCTCTGAGTTTCCTCGTGGCATTTGTAAGCCGCAGCTCAGTGATGAGGTTTATTTGTCCCATCTGCGGAGTCCAGGCTCTGACTGCAGGTTGGATAGCTCTGGTTGGAACCACAGGAGGGCTTGTGAGGTCATCCCGGCTCGCAGGGGCCTGGGGCTGCCCGCTCTGCGGTGCTAGCTCCGGGCAGGCAGCCACGGAAACCGCCTTCTCCTGCGGCCCCCGGCCAACTCCGGTGACCCAGGCACTCGGTTTCGGGCAGAGCGTGTGGCAGGCCGATGTGCTTTGTTTGAAGTACTTTCTGGAGAGTTCCTCCCCCCCGCATTGCGGCCATGTCTTCATGGGGGCTAAGACAGAATGAAGGAGACCTAGGCGAGGTGGCAACACCAAAATGGGAAATGCCAGTTTGGGGACCCACCCACAAATGTTGATTTCCCATTTATCTTACTAAGATTATTCCCCTCTGAATACCAGCTTGTTACTCGGAGCAAACTGGGTGTCAGTGGGGAAAGTGGCCTTCTTCTCTCGGCCACCAGAGACGCCCCAAACACCCTCCCTGCGCTGCAGACGGACCACCCAAGCTCCTGGCTGGTCAGACCTGAGGGGCCTCTGCCGGCCGCCTCCCAGTGGTTCCTGGTCGGGATTCGGTGCAGGGTGTGGTCCGTGTGCAGGCCTGAGCGGGCCAGGACGAGGTACACGGGACATCCTGACCGCCGGCCGCGTCCTGGTCCTGGGACTGGGGGGACGTTCCCGAGGAAGCAGTCCCTGCTTCCTTCCTCTGCCCGTCCGCTGCCATCGAAACAGTTCTGCCTCTGGCCCCGGCCCTGCCCTGCCTCCCCCTGCAGGCGTGTGCCACGGTCCCCGCCGCCTGCAGGCTGCCGTTGTGTGTAGCGCCGACAGTGGCCCTGGCTTCCGGGGAACGGGCCCTGGCCCTGGGTTCACACAGTGAGTCCGTCTGCGCCTTTGCTGCGTGCAGGGCAGGCTCCGGGGTGACAGGTGTGCTGGGCTCCGGAGTGCGGCCTCCTGGATGGAAAACCAGCCCCGACGAAAGTGGGAGAGCGCACGGCCTCCCTCCCAGCGCTGTCCCGGGGCTGACGTGGGGCCCCACACCCGGCCCCGCGCTGTGGCCCCGCGGCAGGCCCTGTGCCAGTGTGCGCCACATGCCAGCAGGCAGGGGTGCCGGACGGGGTTGGTAGCGGCCCCGCTGCCTGTACGTTCAAGAGCCCAGAGGCCTTGGCCTGACGTCAGCTGGGTGGTGTTCCGTTCCTAGTCCTTTCTCTAGTTCCCTGAGAAACACCCCAAATTACAGGCAAACAGCGTGTGGCTGCCAGGGCGGAGAGCAGTTTACAAGTGAGACACTTCCTGTCTCCGATGGTCTTTGAAAGGCAGAATGGCAGGCCTTGTACTTCCCAGAACAAGTGGCCGGAGAAAGGCCGCCACCCTGGGGGGCACCGTGGCCCAGAGCAGGCTGGCCCCGCCGTCTTCTCCCCCGAGCGGCTCTCCCGGCTCACTCCCCGGTTTATTGGACAAGACTCGGCCCAGCTGTTAAGCTCCGATTCTGCCCTCCCTTTGTCTCTGTGAAGAGCGGCTGGGCCGGAGACGCTCCTCTGGGCGCTGGGGGAGGCGTGCTGGCTGGCCCCTGTGGGCTGGGTGGCGGGCGACGAGCCCACTGGGAAGTGATTAAAACGTAACTGTCGTGGCTGGGGGCAGACGGGCCACAGGCCCTGCTTAGCATTCAGAAGGAGTAAGGGGAGAGCAGTTTTGTATTCTGGGCTAAGCAAACTCATAAAACACGCATGAGAGCCAATGCCAAGGGCATCGTTCAGATCCGACCCAGATGTGCAGCCCACAGGACTCGGGGCTGTGAAGGAGAGGGCCCCGGAGTCACGGAAAGGCTGGCCACGGGGTGAAGATGGTGGTGACCCGGAACATGCAGGGTGGGGTCCACCAGGAAGGAGGTCCCGCCTCCGCAGGGGGCTGTGTTTGCTCCCCAGAGCAGAGCGAGCCCCTGGCCCGTGGCGTGGCGTTTGATTTTCACGCTGTTCTGGCTGTGGCCTCCACAGTGGGCAGCAGCCGGGGAGACCCCCAGATGGAATGTTGGAAGCTTCAGTTTCTCTGGAGCAGAGACGTCTGGTGTTTCCCACCAGGGCCACGCCCGGGGCCAGGAGGCCTCCGGAACCCGTGTCTGCCCCCACCCCCCCGGAGTCCTGGCTGGGTCTGCAGGCACTTCTGCAGCTGGTTTGGGCACCTTCCGTGGGTCTGTCTCAAGTTCAGCCACCGGGGGCCTGGCACTGAGCACGGCGGTGGGTGGTGTCGGCTGTGACCACCTGGCTGCGGCATGCATCAGGCCTCTGTCTTCACAGCGTCGACCGCAGTCAGAAGGGCGTCCTCTTGTTTGACTGTGATGTCTGATCGGAATGTAAGGACCTCGAAGACAGAGGCCCCTCCGTCGTATTTAGTCCAGAGCCCAGCGCACAGCGGGAGCTTGGCAAACTGAGTAAGGAACTCCATTCCTGCAGTGAGCGGGGGGTGCCAGGGGCAGAGCCATGAACAAGACAGTGGCAGTTCCTGCCCTCGGAGAGAATGCACGGTGCAACAGGGCGGACCACTGTGACCAAAGACGTATCTCGGCACATGTGTGCAAACAGGGTCGGGAAAAGGCACTCGGGTGTGAGGGGGACATGGCCTGTGGGGGGTGGTCAGGGAGTGACGCAGCAGCCGGAGGCCTGGAGGACAAGCGAGAGTGGGCCAGGCAGCAGGGCGGGGGGACATAATGTGGTCAGGATGTAGCTGTGGCGTGTGCAAAGGCCCTGGGGCACAGGTGAGCCGAGGGGTCTGAAGAACACCAGTGGGAGGCAGGTGCTCAGTCAGGACTGGGGCGCTGGTCCAGGGAGGGGGTTTGCGCAAGGGCGGGGGAGAGGGGTGGGTGAGACGTTGACCCAGTTAAGAGGTCCGCAGCGGTGGGGTTTGGGGGTGCAGTCCAGGTTCCTGAAACTGGTGGTGTCTGTGTCCCACCAGTTGGTGCAAAAGTGGGGCTTGGGGGTCTCTGGGACAGGGACAGAGGGGAAAGCGGGAGAGACACGTAGATGGGAGAGAGACAGGTCATTGGTTGCTCTTCACACGCCCTCAGCTGGGGACCAGACCCACAGCCCAGGCACATGCCCTGGTCGGGAATGGAACCAGTGACCTTTTGGTCTGCAGGCTGATACTCAGCCCACTGAGCCGCACCAGCCAGGGCAGGAACATGCCTTTCAAGAGCAGGAGGAAAAGGAGGTGACAGGGAGGACCCCCCAGCTTCCAAGGACACTGGAAGGGTGGTCAGAGAGGAGAGCAGAGGCCAGGAGGAGAGGCAGCTTGGCTGGGAGCTGATGGCGCCCCGTCACCGGCCAGTGCCCTGTCCCCACAGAAATTGGCTCTGTGGCTAGTGTTGCAGGTTGCATGTTTCAAAGACAGAACACTGTATTCTGGATTCTGCCCTCGGGTCATCTCCGAGAGGGACAATAAACAGCCATTTCCAAGAGGTGAGGGGCACCAATGAGGCCGTTTTGCGCAGAAAACCCGCGGACGGCGTCTGTTTTTGGTCGAGTTGGTTCGAGTATCCTTTGGATGTTGTGGAGACGTGGCTTTCCCAGCAGTGGCCGAAGGGCGTCGTGGTCCGTGGGAGCCCCGCTGTCCGTGGGCAGTCCCGCCCTGGAAGCTGTCTGCATTTGTAAACTGCCACCCGCGAGGGCAGTGGGAAAAGTTGCTGAGTGAAGGCTTCGGGGGGAGGCAGGCCTGGCGACGCAGGTCTGTGTCCATGGGGCAGGCGTGTGCGTCCGCCACGCCCGCCATGCCCGCCACGCAGCGGGGACAGCCCCGGCCGACCAGGGGCTCCAGTGAGTGCATATCTTTGTGCCCTGGACTACGGTTCGCCCTTGGGAAGGAATGAGGTAGTGACACCCCCGGCTCCGTGGACGAACCTCAATAACACCGTGCAAAGCAAAAGGCGCCAGGCACCGAGGGTCACGCGTCCTACGACCCCACTCACCTGGAGTGTCCGGAGCGGGCAGGTCTGCGCCCAGGGAGCGCAGCTCAGCGGTCGGAAGGAACGAGGGTGGGGGGGGTTGGGGAGGGACTGTTAATGGGGGCGGGGTTCTTCCCGGGGGGGTCGACGTGTCTCCCGGGGACTGCGGTGACGGTGGCACAGGGTTGCGAGTCTGCGGAAACCCATGGGGCCACACGCTCCGTGGGCGTGGACGGTGCTGTGTGTGAATCCAATTCCTCAAAGCTACTGGGAAGAGGAGGAGCCCGAGCAGCGACCCTCTGTGATCCTCTTTGCAGCCGTGGGCCGGGCGGCATCCGGGACCGTTTTCCTGCGGGTCTCGTGGGAAGGGAGGAGACAGATGCTTTGTGGCTGCCCTGTCCTGCGTCATGCCAGCCGGGGCCCTGTTCCCCACACTTACTCATTTAATCAGCCGCCCTCCATGATGGTGTGTGGTGTCGCCATTTCCCCGAGTTCCTGCTTGGAGGAGGCCAGGTCTAGGGGGCTCTCGAGAACTCCCGTGGGAGGCCCTGGCCACCGGGGGTGGCTCAGCCCCCTCCAGCCCCCTGCAGCCTGGGAGAAGCTTGCCTTCCCCATCCTGGCCTGCCCAGCCCCTGTGCCGTGGGTGGCGCCCTCGGTTCATGTGCCGACTCCATTGTTGCCGAGGCCCGCCGGGCACTGCTGAGCCTGCCGTGCGCCCGCCTCCCCAGGTCCTCATCGACTGGGTCAACGACGTGCTGGTGGAGGAGCGCATCATCGTGAAGCAGCTGGAGGAGGACCTTTACGATGGCCAGGTGCTGCAGAAGCTCTTGGGTGAGTCCCAGGGAAGGGCGCCGCGCACCTCACGCCTCCCCAAGGACCCCAGCGCAGGGCCACCCCCAGGCTAGGCCACACAATCCTCCAGGTGGCGACAGGGGCTGCACAACCTGAGAGTAGACTCGAAGCCTCAGCCCTGAGCTCACAGCTCCCAGGTGGTGTCCCAGGTGGTGTCCCCGGGCTTCAGGCCACCTGTCCTCTCATCTTTTCTCGGGGGGGGCATCCCCCCAGAGCTCACAGCCACGTGGCAGCAGCTGGTCGTGCACAGCTTCCAGAACCGTCTGTGCGCTCACCCAGGGGGCGTGGAGGGGTGTGCGTGGCACCCCACCTCCTCTGGGTCTGCCCTCTCTGCCGGCCCGCATGCACTGTCAGCCCCTTGCGGCGGGCAGGTGCAGGAGCTGGCAGGTCCCCAGAGGGTGTTCTGTGGGTGGGCTGCGCACTCCAGGGGTGTGACTCGTGGGGGCAGGCAGGCAGCCCCTTTCTGTGTCATCGCCTGGGGACGGTCAGAGTCCCCACTGAGCTCACGCTCGAGGAGCAGTCGGCGATGCCGGCACATCGTCTAGAGTCAGTAAGTGGTAGCAAAAAAAAAAAAAAAAAGACATATGAAAAGCGAGAGCGGGGGCTGCTGAGTCCCCGAGTTCCTCTGGGTGACGGTCACACAGCCACGGTGCCGACCGAGTCAGTGAAGAGCACTGTGGTCCCTCACTTCCAAGGGTGCAGCGGCTCCTTTGTCAGGAGGTGGGTCCAGCGTCTGGGCCTTGGCTCCGTCCAGGGGACCAGCGGTTTGCTCCGCAGCCTCTTGTCCCGGAGGAGCTCTGCTGAATCCTCGGGGCTCCCCAGGCTCTGCAAGGGCGGCCTCAAGGACTCTGTGTCCTCTTGCACGTGGGATAGCACGCTTTCTAGAGTCAACAGGAGACCCTGCCCCCGGCCTCTTATGGGGCCACGTGGGCTGCAGATGGGGTGGGGCCACGTTTTCCCATAGTTATAGCAGAGGGTGCCTGCCGGGGGGTCAGGGAGATACAGCAGATACAGCAAGCCCTCCTCATCTTCCGATGGGGTGCTCCACTCCCAGTCCACCCGCGCAGGTCCCCCCACACGCCTGTCCACTGCACCCTGAATCATTTTGTCCTTTTTCTGTGAACAGCCAGGACGCCCACTGCTCCTTCCTCTCGCCCCACCCCGTTTTCATTCTGGAGCGCGGGTGGTGTGAGATTGAGGGTCCCATTGCCAATCACCCCTCCGTGGGACTGGCCGAGGTCCGTGGGGACCTCGTTGCAGCCAGTTGACCCGGTGGCCCTGAGCCGCCCCAGCCCTGCCCGACACTCTGCCTTTCACTCCTGTCCTCTTCCTTGTAGAAAAGCTGGCGGGCTGCAAGCTGAACGTGGCCGAGGTCACACAGTCGGAAATCGGGCAGAAGCAGAAGCTGCACACGGTGCTGGAGGCCGTGCAGGACCTGCTGCGGCCCCACGGCTGGGTGCCCCAGTGGACTGTGGACGGTGAGCGGCGGCGGGGGAGGGGCGTCCTCCAGGGGTCTCCACGGGGTCGCTCGTCACGGAACCTGGCCTGGCGTTGACAAAATCTGGTCCCTCTCCTGCTTGGTGACAGGCAGCTAGGAGAGGAGAAAGCCAGCGTCCCCACGCTCAGGACCTCACAGTTAAGGGCCTCAGTCACAGCCACCGTTTTCTGTCCGCATCCCCTTGAATGTCAGAGCAGAGCGGGGTTGCTTCTCATCGGGGACATGGGAGAGACTTCAGAGGGAGGACAGATAGGAATTCGGGTTGTACCAGAGAAGTGCGTGGGGCTCCCGCAAAGGGCCACACCCCAGATAAGGAGGGGAGCCGTAGATGCCCCTCCGGGGCAGGGGGGCTGGCTGTCGGGCCGTCTCCAGGTGTGCGGGTGTTAGGGGTGGGTGACGTCACTGTATGTCCAGCCGAGACAGGAGCGGGGAAGGTGATGAACTAAACCAAGGAAACTGGAGAGTTTTTTCCTGGCTTCCTTCCCCATGACCCACCCACCCTCAGTGGGGGGCAGCCCAGGCTCAAAGTGCTCCCCTTGTTGTGGTCACATCTGCCCCTGGCTCCTTGACATCGAGACCTTGGACAGACCCCAGCTGACCTTGTGGGTGGCAGGACCCTGTGGGTGGGGAATCGAGTGCCTCGGACACTGGAAAGCCCTGTGCAGTGTGGTGACGACAGGCGCGCCCAGTCCCCTTCCTGGGGAGGAGCCAGTGCAGGCCCAGGGGTCGGGGCGGGCGGCAGTCACGGCTCGAGTCCCCCAGCAGCATCGCCCTCCTGGCCTCCCCTGCGGGGACGCTGGTTGCACAGGGAGAGGGCGATCCAGGGGGCCCGGATAACGGTGCGCACCACCGTGACAGCCGCATGCTGGGACGGCCTGCTTCTCCTGATCTGTTCCCTGCTCGTTCCCTCCTATGGCCACCCCATTTTCTCCCTTCCAAGAGCCTCAGGCTTTTCAAAGTGGTTCCACAAGTCTCCTTAGCCAACGAGAAAGAAAAACACTGGGAGCCACAGCTCAGCTCACTTAGCACGCTCATTAACTCTCGTCATCTCTCTGCGGCCTGTGGTTCACCTCTCGGGTCTCCTCCGAGGTCTCCCGTACACACAGCATCTTTATTGCCTTTTGGACATGGGCCCGGGGTTTCAATGCAACCCGTCTAAAGCAGCTCCTTCTCCCCCCCCCCCCAGCAATTCACGGGAAGAACCTGGTGGCCATCCTCCACCTCCTCGTCTCGCTGGCCACGCACTTCCGGGCCCCGATCCGCCTCCCCGAACACGTGTCCGTGCAGGTGGTGGTCGTGCGGGTGAGTACCGGTCGCTGAGCGGCCAGCTTGCCGGCGACGCTGCTGCAGGGGCACCTGGACTTTCCCCCCTGTATTCTCCTGATTTTCTCCCTCCCCCACGCCCACCCTCAAGAGGCCACCTTCTCTTTTTCCTTCTTGACAAAATGCACGTCTCGGCATGGCCTCGAGATCAGTGATTGGAGCGGGAACAATGGCAGTGATTCAAAGAATCAGCTCCAAAGGCGTCTGAGTGTTGAGGTTTAATTTTCCACATTTTGAAGAAGAACATTCATTTCTCTCTAAAGCCGAGCAGTCAGAATGCAGCCGACTGTTGAAGAAGCTGATTGCTCACCGGAGGAGGAGCCCCTTGCATGAAACAGACACCCCAACTACAGCCGGGCACCCCACTGTGTCTGCGCCCTGCCCGCTGCACCCCTCCTTGCACAGCCTTCTCCAGGGTCATTTCTCTGGTTTCCCTTGGAGACAGTAACCAGGAGGCGGGCCCTGCCCGAGGGGGCGGGGCTTCCTGCCCTGGGGGGTAGGGGGGGACACACACAGACCCTGCCCTGTGGTGTGCGTGGCACCCCACACCGCCTGCCGGGGTTGCTGACCGAGGAGAGTCCACCTGGGTCCGGCAGGAACAGCGGCTTCTGCCAGAGCGTTGGGGTGACCCTCGGAACCTGGGTGTCTGGGTGTCCAGCTCCACGCTCTCCTCGGGTTGGCAAACTTATAGGTGTCCGTGGTCTGCGAGGCTCTGGCTGCTCCCAGGTTCCCCAAAGCCATGACCTTCTCTGTGACCTGGGAGCTTGGCCTTGACCTGGTGGGCAAGAATGCCCTTCTCTAGCCTCAGGTGCGGGTCCCCTACCATGCGGCCCCTCTTACACCCTAAGGAGGAATGTCTGTGGTCGGCGGTGGTGACGGGGACAGGGGACTGCTCCTGTCGCCATTGCCTGGGACGCTCCCTCGAGGCGGCCGGCCGGGAAAGGCTTCCCGAGGACACAGGCGCGTGGTTTGCAGACCCACGCGTGTCAGCCACAGGCCCCGAGAGCCGTGCGGCTCAGTAATTGGGGTATTTCCTTTCAGGCCTGAGCTCTGGCCCAAGGAAATCTTTTGGGTCTGTGGAAGGTTGCCCTGACCCAGGCAAGCACTCACTGGCTCGTCCTCCGGACCGAGGTTACGGAAGGACTCCCTGGGCCACGGCCAAAGCTGGATGCGCTGTGGGGAGGCGGTCCCAGAACAGCCCACCTCAGGCCTCCGCCCGATTCCCCGAGTGTAGAGCTGCCTGCCTCCCCCGTGGGCTGCTGGCCTGTCCCACGTGTCCTACTCTCCGGGCTGTCGGGGGGCACAGGGGGATGGCAGTTGGTGGGGGGAAGGGAGGAGGCCAGGGCCTCACGTGCCACCCAGCAGTGGCCCTGGGACATTGCTTAATGTCTCTGTGCTACAATGACCTCCATGCAACCGAGGTCACACCACAGCCCTCTAAAACACTCCGCCTTGTCTGTCCAGCACTAGTCCTGGGCCTCGCACCCAGTACCTTCCCAGTGCACAGCCGACGCCCACATGGAGAGATTGTCCTGGGCCCCGCGGTGGGCGCCCTGGAGAGTCAGTCGGGGTGCGGCCATGAGGGAGCCGGCAGCTGCCCGCCCGCCCACCTGTGCGTGGTCATCTCAGTGACAGGAGCCTGCATCGAGCGGTCCCTGCAGGCTGATCACAGCCACTCTCAGGGAGCATCTCTGCCGAGCGGTGTCCACCGCGGGCTACCCAGCAGGGACTGAGCTCCCTGTCCCTGGAAGGGGTTCGAGGAGGGGCTTCCGCTGGGGGCTGGGTTAACTGGCCACTGTGCGGCAACCCGAGGTCCTGTGGCCTACAGGCTGCCTGTGCACCGCTGCCCACCACCGTCCTCCTCACACCTGCCGGCTCCGGGGCATGCGCATCGCACAGCATCGGTGTCCTGGGGCTGCTCGCCCTGGACGAGGGGGTCAGACCAGCAGGTGTGCAGGGAAGGGTCCTCCCGGCCTCTCCCAGCTTCCGGCGGCTGTTGACAGCCCTCGGGTTTCCTTGGCTTGTTGGCGTGTCCACTTAGTCATGGAATGGGGGGGCGGGAGCTGGGTGTTCCTCTGGAGACCCCCAAAGCTGCCAGCTCCCAGGGCACTGTGGAGCACCCGTGGGGGTAGGTTGGGGGCAGTGTCCAGCCACCAAAAGGGGCACTGCCTCTGGTCCCCTGTGCATGGCTTGGATGTCCTGCAGGGCACTTGGCTCTTTTGTGGCCCCGAAGGTGGCCTCCTGGCCCTGACCGCCTGTCCACGGCTGCAGCTGTCCATTGGCGACGGCGTCCCTCTCGTCTTTTCTCACTGCGCCAGTGTTGGTGTATTTATTTATTTGTTTTGGGGTTTTCAGAAGCGGGAAGGCCTGCTGCATTCCAGCCACGTCACGGAGGAGCTGACCACGACCACCGAGTAAGTGGACCCGTGGCCCTGTCCCCTGGGCCCCTTGGCCGCCAGGCCCCCGACATGCCACGTCCCTGACCTCCAGGATGCAATTCCCATACCAGTGTCTGTCCTGCTGTACACCCTCCACACGCCTCCCTTAAAGGTTTTTTATTTTCTTCTTTGTGAAGAAGGGCAAACGAGCAGTTTGGTTTGGTATTTAAATGAGAAATTCAGCGAACAGGGACCGTTCACTGCTGAAACGTTCTCCATGTTAGCCGCTTCTGTGATCTAAATAACACCGAAGGACTGGGTTGGTGAAGACGGTGCTTTACTATGGGGTGCAATTCACCAAAACGGGGCTGCAGCTTTATGTGCCGCCCCTCGGGAGGGCACTTCAGGGCCCCGGCTTCCGAGTCACCTCACTAACCCGGGGCCTGGGTGCCCTGCTGATGGCTTCTCTCTCTGTTTCTTGTTTGCAGGGCGATGATGGGTCGGTTTGGTAAGTAACCCCAAAAGTGGGATGAGGTTGGGGAGTCTGGGGTCGTAGGGCACTTTGGGGTCACCCCAGAGGGCCCCTGGAGTTCAGGCAGTCACTCGGGGGCAGCAGGACCCCTGTGCATTGCGTGTTGCTCGCGCCCCGCCCCACTCCCCGCAGTTCTGGAATACAGAGGAAGCTCTCGGCTCCCGTGGGCCTGCGCCCTGGGCGAGGCCAGGCAGTAAGGAGGGGCGGGTGGTGGAAGGGAGGACAGGGACGTGTGGGGGATGTGGCAGTGCTCTCGTCCGCCTGCAGGGACCGAGAGGGCGTGGAGAGGACAGAGGGGAGGGCGGAGATGCTGGCTTGAGCGCGGAGCATAATTAGCCAGGAGAGGGTTTCTTTATGGTGTGTGTTTGTGTGTGGCCTTTCCACCTTGAAACCTCTGGCTCAGCAGACGTCCTCCGAGTCAGGCAGCCTTGGCCGTGGTCCCCACGGGGCGCCATTGGCCTGCCCCTTCCCCTCTGGGTTCCTCCTCTGTGATGCCGGTCAGTCCAAGGTCACTGAGCGGATCCGCTGGATGACTGTGTGTCCTGCACTTGCCAGCCTGGCTCCTTCCGTGGGGTGGTTATTACTGTTCGTTTTCGGTGGCTGTTGCCCTGTCCTGTTACAGCCCACGACCCCATCAGCCGTTCAGTGAGGGACAATGGACAGAGGGACAGCTTGTGGCAGTCTTCCAACCCAGAGGCAGGCTCACTGCTTTGCAGAATGACCCCTAGACACCAAGCTCTCCAGTGGGCGTCTGGAGAGGTGGTGTGGCTGTCAGAAGGAAGAATGGGAACCAAATAGAAGTTTGCGCATTTTTCCCTGGGGTGGGGGAGGGGGCCCGCCGGCTAGAGCCGGTCTCAGAGCTGCGAAGCCCTGGGGTGCGGAGCTCGCCTGGCGTCTTCCACCACTCGGCCACCAGTCCCCTCGGGTCACTGTGGGGCCTGCTGTGGGGCCCGCTGTGGGGCGGTGTAGGGAGAGGGCTCTTCCGTTCTCAAAGTCCTTGCTCCTGGGAAATGCACGGTCCTGCGGCTTCATTAGGTGGGTGGGCCTGGGAGACGCGGTCTTCACCGTGTTTCTAAGGAGCACTTCTGGTCGTTTGAGTGTCTTTATCAATTTGCACAAAAGGAGGGGAGAGGACAGACAAGAGGAAACCGTCCCGTGTCCAGTTGCTGAGGTCCCAGGACAGCAGTTGGGGCGCCACGCGTGGCAGGGCTGGCGTGGGACTCCCAGTGGACCGGCACTGTGGCAGCCTGGCGCTGTTCTGTGTCTGGGTGCAGCCCTGTATGGGGGTGCAGCGTGCCCCACTGTCGCACCCCTGTCCTTTCTGCAGGGAGGGGTCCAGACCCCTCGTAGAGGTGCAGAGGTGACAAGTGGGGCCCTCAGAGCATTTTTAGCTGTGGTCTGGTTTTCTGGTATTGTCACTTCCGTGTTTGGGACAGGCCTGGGTCAAGGTCTGTTGGAGGCCGTGTGGCCCGTGGCCGAGCGTAGACGCTGGGTGGGAAGTCCTGGCCCCTCGGTGAGCGGGCACTCGGAGCTGGTGCACAGGATGGGACTCGGGGTGAGAGCTGGGTGTCGCGGTGCGGCAGTGGGTGCTGCCGCCGTGCTGATGAGTACGGAGCCGGCTGAGCATCTTCTGAGGGGACAGGGCGGGGACAGTGGGGCCAGGAGCCCGTGGAGTTGGCCTCACTCCTCACAGGCTCTCGTATGCGCGTGAGACGCCAACGGGCTGCCAGCGCCTGGCAGGCAATTAGTTCCAGTCTTCAGTGGCTTCGCTGATGCAAGCGCCAGGTCTCCTGGTGACCCAGACCGACAGCCCTGGGGGGCGTAGCAGAGCTCCGGCCAGCCCTCCTCCTGTGGGCGCCTTCACCCCTCCAAGGTGGGCTCTCCCCGGCATGCTGGTCCCCAGCTAGCCCCTGTGGTTGGTTCCTGTACACTCACCGGGGCCGGGCTTCTCACAGCACCCCATGCTCCTGACTCTCCTTTCCTCTGCCCCCCACCTCGTTCTAAGCCAGAGCCAAGGCCCTTGCGTGCCCTTCAAGGCCTTCTCAGACCACCCCTCAGGACCCCCCTCCTCCTCTCTGGCCTCCTCACGCCCCCTGCAAGCCCAGCCCGGCGGCGGCTCCCTCCCTGCACCCTGGGATGCACACCCTTGGGCTTTCATGCTGCAGAGCCCTGCGCCTGGGGTTCTCTCCCCTAGGGCCCCCCCGTGGCTCAGTCCCTCAGCCCCTCCAGCTTTCCTTCAGATGTCACTCACCCAGGTCACTTACCAAACTACCCTGCCCCAGGGACCACCCTCTGGCCTGTCCTGCCCGCACTGCTCCTCGTCACCTCTTTACGTACGTCTGTGCTCCCCACGTCAGTGCACACTCAACCCCAGCCACTCACGCGGGCCCTCCACGGGCTTGGCAGACACGGGTGCCCAGGCGGCGTGGGGACCCCGGCCATGTCCACTCCCCATTCCCACGTGGCTGCCTGACTGTAAGCGACCAGGGGGCTGGAGCCCTGTCTTCCTCACTGTGCATCACCCAGGGGCCTCCGCGGGCAGGCAGCCGCCCGGGCTCCGTGGGGAGTGTGTTCTCAGCCCCGGTGGGTCTCACGTAAGCACTCTGAGCTGGGGGGTCCACGCTGCCCCCAGCCCCCAACTTCCAGCTCCTGACAGCATCTCTGCACGGGCTGAGGTGGGACGGGAGGCCCTTCTCTCCCCAGGGGCATTGGGGAGCTGCAGCCTGGTCTCCATGGCAACGGGGTTGCTGGCTGCCTTTCTGGGAAGGCGGCCATCCCCCTTCCCGGGTAAGTGGGGGAGAAGGGAACAGGAGCTTTCTCCCCCCCCCCAGCCCCCATCATGTCCTCTCCTTTCTGCCAGCTGAGCTCGTTTCCACCTGCAGCTGGAAGGACAGACCACCACCCCTGGTCCCAGCCCGCTCGAGCCCCTGGCCCGGAGCCCCCCCTACCCTGAGGAGCCAGCCCCCCGACCCCCTCATAGGCCACTGCTGGGCACCCCCTCTGGGCTCCTCAGGCCTCTCTTTGTGCTTGTGCCCTCTGCTCAGAGCGCCCTCCTGACTCTTCTCTTCTTGTCCTGGCTCCCGTGTGACGCTTCTCCAGGGACCCAGCTGGTTACATGGAAAGGGGAAGTGGCTGGAATGCCTCGGCCTCTGTTGGGGGTCGTGGGGAGAGGTGGGCTCTGGGGTGAACTGCAGAGTCCCTGCCCCGCTGCCGCGGCGGCGTGTCGGAGTCCGGTGGGAACGAAGCCCAGCTTCCAGCTCCTTAGAGAAGCCAGAAATTCAGAGCTGTGGATGGATCAGTCTTCCAGTTTAAGAAATGCTAGACTCAAACAAGCAAAACAAGTTTACTGGGGCCAAACTAGACATCCCTGAAGTTGAACTTGGCAGGCCCCGCACACTCTGGTTGATCTGGCCCCTTTCTGTGTCCTTTCTGGCCTTTGGCGTCACCCGTCTCCTTGGTGCCCAGCTGCCTCCCCCACCGGTGCGCCCTCCGCAAGGCGGGGCTGCCTCCTGTTCATTTCTGTGACTGTCCCCAGAGGAGGCAGGCGAGGGTCTGGGGCAGGATGACAGGGGCTGTCAGGGACGGGGTGCCTGCCAGGACGGAGTGCTTAGCCCTCCGTTCCCAGCCCGATGGTGAGGGACACCATCACCCTGACGTCACCTCGGAGGAAACAGGTGTAGGGAGGGGGCCCCCTGCTTAAAGTCAGGGCACTCTGAGGCCAGGCAGCAGGGGTTTGAGCCTGGATCTGGCTTCAAACCAGCCTGCGGGGTGCCAGCCGCGAGTGACTGGCTCAGACGCCACCTCTGCTCCCGGGCTCTGCCAGCCCAGCGGTGGCCCAGCTAAATATACCCGGCTGACGTCAAGTGCTGCTCAGCTGCTGGAGTTTTTTGCAAACTGCATTTAAATTTTGTGTTTAGCTCGTAAAGATTAGCACCCCCTCGCCCCGCCCAGCAGACTGTACTGGGTGCAATCTGACCTGCAGGATCAGAAAAGTGGTTGGGCCACGGTCGGTAGGCTCTGGGCCTTGTGGTCACTCCCGACACCCCCATCAAACACGCGCACACCATGTGCACGAGTGTGCAATCACACACACACACACACACACACACACACACACACACACACCTTCCTTCTCTCCCTTCCTCTTGGCCTCTGACCTTCCTTCCCTCCCCCTGAAGCCAAGGAGGGGGGTCCCTGAGCTGGGCTGGGGTGTGAGCTGCCTCTGCAGCCAGCCCCTGGGTGCAGAGCACAGAGTGCCTTCCTTTCGGGGCCAGGCCCGGGGACAAGGGCTCGGACCTGCCTTCTCCTTCTCAGCTGCCCCTCCCCCCGCCTCCCGGGGTCAGACTGGACAGTCCAGTCTGGAAGCCAGGAGGGCCGAGGTGTCGGGGTGACGCTGAGCTCTGAGTCCCCCTCGCCCAGATGGGGGGTGGGTGGTTTTTACTTTAAGAGTGATGAGCAGCTGTCAGATGGGGAGGAGGCAAGAAATGGGCTGATTTACACTTGAAAGAGCTTGCCCACCCTCTGGGGAGAATGGGTTGAGGGGCCTGGAGTGGAGGCAGGAGACCTGTTAAGCCCCGAGGCTGTGGCTGGCTGCTCCCCAGGAAGGGGCGATAGGGCTTGTGGGGGGCAGTCATGAGCAGCTGTGGGGTGTCGGAGTGGTGGCCGGGGGGACCCACAGATCTGCTACAGGTGAGCAGTGTGGGAAAGCGCACCCCCAGTCCTCAGACAGCTTGGGGTGGATGTCCCCGTGTTCCCTGTGGAGGTGGGTTGGAGGAAGGACCTTTTCCTGGCCGGCGCCTGGGCTTCGGCTCTGGCAGGAGCTGAGAGGGTTCCAGGTGGGCGGGACGCCCGAGGGACCGAAGCTGCCTTTTCCTGGGACAGGTGGGTGGGGTGGCTCAGCCCCTGGCGCCCTAAACCCTCTCCCCTGTGTCTTCCTGTCTCCCAGAGCGGGACGCCTTTGACACCCTGTTCGACCACGCCCCGGACAAGCTCAACGTGGTGAAGAAGGTAGGCTCCTGGCTTCTTGTGGCACAGACTCCGTGCGGGGAAGGGGGTGGGAAAGTGTTTGAAGTCCCTGACGTGTTTGCCACTCGGATTGAAGTGTAATTACAGCCGAGCCGTAACTCCAGTGCATAAAATTGGCAGCTTTTTAACTCAACAACGTCGCTGCTCGCTGGGTATCTGCCCGCCTGCCCGCCCGCCCACTTCTGCGAGTGAGTCCCCAGCCGGGCCCACGTGCCGTTCATTCCAACTCAGGGCTTTTATTCAGCGTGGAAAAGCCGTTGAGCGGGTCAACCCACCGGCCTCGGTGACCTCATTAGCATGGCGCTGCGCTCACCCCACACAGGAGGCCTTTGCTGGTGGAGCCATTCTCCGCATGCACTCGACCCGATTCCCCCGAGACAGGAGCCGGGAGAACAGGCCCCTCGCTGTCCACCCCGGCACCTGCCTGTAAATGTATGGACGGAAAAACCCACTCGAACCCAAGCCTCTGGAGTCGGGGGCTGGGGAGTAATGAGCTTCCCGTGGGCTCTGCCAGGAGGGCTTGTCCCCCGCAGGAGGAGCTGAGTGTCAGCCCGAGGCACGTGGGGTATCTGAGCCCCTAAGATGCATCACTGGGGGCGGCGGCCTCAGGGCGGGTGTGCATGCGTCCTGCCTTCCTGGGCTGCCGGGGGAGCGGCCACTTATGCCTGCAACCCAGGGGGCAATTTCCCCAAACAGGTCTCTTTTTTAAAAAGAAATTTAGTCTTTATTGTATTTTTTTCCCATTACCGTTTAGTCCCCTTATACTCCCCCCACCAGCAGTCACCTCCCTGCTGCCCACGTCCATGAGTCCTTTTTCCTTTTTGCTCAGACCCTCTCCCCTCCCCACCAGCTGCCATCCGCTCTCCGTCTGGGAGTCTGTCTCTGTTTGCCGTGTTTGTTCAGGTTGTTCATTAGATTCCACGCGTGAGTGGGACCCTGTGGCATTTGTCTTTCTCTGATAAGACATTTGGCCGCAGCGTGGCGGGACCTGGAGACCCAGAGCAGGTTTCTTACTGCTGCATTTCTCAGAGACAGTGAACCACTGCTGTGCCGGAATCCTGCCTGCAGGGCTGGCGGGGGAAGGGGTTCCCAGACGGACGTGTCAGTAACACGAGGGGGGAACCGGAGACGTGGCCGTGGAGCTCAGCTGTGGAAACTGCGGGCCGGGGCCGGGGGGGGGGGTCGGCAGTTTTCGGACGTTCTTTGCGGAAGGCCGCAGAGTCACCCCACTGGTCCTTCGGGATGGAGTCTTCCTGGCGTCCTGGGGTCAGCAGGGCCACACTGTGGGGCTGCAGAGCAGGGCCCAACATCCCGCCCCGGCCGCGTCTGGCCCTGGCGACCCTGGTTCAGTGGATGGTTTAATCTGCCTCTCTCACGTAGCAGCTGTGTGACCTGAGCCAGATTGCATGCCGGGCCTCAGTTTCCCCATCAGTGCAGGAGGGACAAAGGCACCCCCCCTCGCAGGGTGCAGGAGCGTAAAATGTGACCACATCTGCGTGAGGGTCCAGTGCACTGTGTGCAGCCACCGGAGCGTGCTGGACACGCCGTTGCCCACGCCGGTGGGCTTTCATCCAGCAGCAGCCGTGAGGCTGCGTCGTTCATTGAAAAGACGTCCTTCGGGCACTTGGACCTTAGCGCCCGAGGAGATGAGATCCCTGCATTTGCCCCACGGCTTCCTGGGCCCAGCCTGGCCCTTCCCGCCCCCACACTGCCAGTTGCCGCGGCAGAGGCCCCCCGTCCACCCGTCCAGGTTGTCCCAGATCTGCCCACCTTCCTCTCCCACCCCTCCCACATCTGGCCACGACCCAAAGAGCCCACAGTGTTCTCACAGGTGTTCACCGCTGGGCACCTGCTCTGCCCGCTCCCCCCCACCCAGCCCCAGGCCCGGCACAAAACTCCAGGCAGGGAGCCCCACGCCCTCCCGCGTGCTCAGCAAACCTCCCCTCCCGTCTTGCGGGCTTTGCCATCTCACTCGACTTCTCTGGCACCCCCACTAGGGTGTGTGTGGGAAATTAGGTCCCAGGGTCTTCAGAGTGGGGGGCTCTCCAGAGTGGGGGGCTCTCCAGAGTGGGGCTCTGTCCTGCTGTCTCCGTGTCCCCAGCACCAAGCCGAGCACGTGGCCGTGGGAGCTGCTCTGTAAATTTGAGTGGAAGGAATGAGGAAATGACATCGCACCCGGGGGAGGGAGGGTGGGGCTGGGCTGGAGTTGCCATTAAACTTGGGTCTGTTTGCTGAGAACAGTCACCAGTGACAGTTTACAAACGCCTGTCCCCAAGAGCAAGCCTATGTGTGGGGGGTGGCCCCAGGCAGCCTCTCTCTCTCCATCTTTCATGTCCAAGGTGACATTTAGGATACATTTAAATGTTTAATTGCCCGCCTCCCGACAGCTGTGTCCTGAAGGGCACTGGTCTCCTCCGCAGGGCTGTGCAGTATGGACCTGGCATGTCCGAGCAGGGAGGTGCGCTTCCTTCTGCCTTGGGGACAGTTTTAGGCATAATGTCCTTGAAACCAGGGGTTAGAGAACATATGATCTCTTTGAAACCAGAACATTTCGTTTTCAACACGAGCTTTTTATTTTGGTAAATGGGAGCTCAGGGAAGCAGCTCACAAAGCCGGGGGCAGCATGGAGCGGGGTCTGTCTCACGGCTCTTGTGTCCCTTTGCCCCGGCAGTCCCTCATCACGTTTGTGAACAAGCACCTGAACAAGCTGAACTTGGAGGTGACGGAACTGGAGACCCAGGTGAGCCGAGTTCTGGGCGGAAGGGCCCTTCTTCCTGTGTCGTGTCCAGCCAGCGCTCTGACCCCGGGGTGCGGGGGCCGTGGGCACACATCACAAGACATCTCGCTCGTCCAGCAGGAGTGCCCGCCCTGCGGCCCCAGCCGCCCTCGCCGCCCTCAGACCCTCTGTCTCCGCTGGTGGAGCAAAGCACGCCACAGGGAGCGGCTCAGGCAGCAGACGTTCATTTGCTCCCGGCCCTGGGGGCTACAGGTCCGGATGGGGCTTGGCTGGCTCCCTTGGACGTGGCTGTCGTCATCCTGGTCTCTGCCTCACGGTCACAAGCGGTTCTCCGTGTGCGCACCTTTGCCAGGTTCCTGCTTTTGTAAGGACGTCAGCCTTGTTGGGTCAGGACCCGCCTGGCTGACCTCGTCTGCACTGGTCTCTTCCAGAAAGACCATTTCCCATAAGCTCTCATTCCCAGGGCCTGGCGGGTTGGGAGGCCGACACATCTCTCTGAGGGGCGATACAGCTCCACTCCTAACCCCCTCCAAGCTGCCACACCACCCACCAAAGAGCCTCTGCCTGTGCCAGTTGGTCCCTCAGTCTAGAATGTTCTGCTCCCAGCTCCCCCGCAAATGCTCACTGAACCGCCCCCGGAGAGCAGGTGCAGAGCATCTTCTTCCGCAGCAGGTGTGTGAAGTGCAGTTGCCTCTTGAAGAGCACGGTTTGGATGGCCTGGGTCCAGTTACAGGTGGATTTTTGTCCCACAAGTGTATCGGAAAACGTTTTGATATTTCTCGTTACTGACAAAACAGTCCTATCGCCGCTTCTTTGTTATCAAGGCATGAGTGTTGTACTTGTAAGTAGCTACTTTCCTTCACATTGTCTTTCAGTTTTGGTGTCTCGTGTTAGTAACACTGTAGCACCGACGCAGGCACAGCCGATGGCTCGTCTTGTAAACAAGCCTACGTGAGCCTGTGGCACAGAACTGCACGTGCATTTTCTCCTTTGTGATTTTCTTAATGACACCTGTTCTCCTGCGTCCTTTGTCATAAGAACGCCGCACACGGAACGTGGATTCTGGACTGTGTGGGGTGTCGGCATCCCTACCCCCTGCGTGGTCCGCGGGCCCACTGAGCCCCTCCAACCCCCACACAGAACGAAAGCAGCATCGTGAAGCTATGCTTTGAGCGCGCAGCAGGTGTTCAAGACAAAATATAATTTTCTAGGGATTAGCTGGGGCTGGAATTCGGAGCTGCGAATTCTTGGTACCAATTTCGGAAATGCACAGCTGATCCCTTCTTAAAGCCCTGGGCGCTTGCATTCATTTCTTTCTCTTTAACTTTTCTCATTTGCTTTTCTAATTAAAAAAGTAATTCAGGTTCATTGTAGAAATGTCTGACAATGCACAGCCACAAAACCAATAAAAGCCCTTTGTAACGCATCGCCCAGGGGCGCTGTGCCCAGAGGCTAGGCCCGGAGCTTATCTCTGGGTGGCCATTAATCTCGGACAGTGTGGGTGTGTATTTGAGAGCCAGAGGCCTGTTTTTATTCTTAAGGTTTTTATTTATTTATTTATTTATTTTTAGAAAGGGGAAGGGAGGGAGAAAAACATCAATGTGTGGTTGCCTCTCACGTGTCCCCTACTGGAGACCCGGCCCACAACCCAGGCGTGTGCCCTGACTGGGACTTGAACCAGCGACCCTTTGGTTTGCAGGCCAGCGCTCAAACCACTGAGCCACACCAGCCAGGGCCAGAGGCCTGTTTTTAATGTGCGTATGTGTCTGTGTGTTGTGTGCAAAGGCACCGATTCTTTTTAGCACTTCGCTAACATTGCACGCGGAGCCTCCGGTCCTGCCTCCCTCCCCACCGCCTCCCCCACCGTCCTCTCCCTGTAGTTCACAGGTGGACGTGTATTTTTCTAGCTATTTTATACGCGTTAATGTATTTTCTAAATGGCAGTGGAGTGTGTTGTGCTGTTTGTACTGAGCTTACCTGATACACCGTGGGCGTCTTTTGTGTGTGTGCGTGTATTTCCGTCCACTCTCACCACTGCTGCCTGGCCTGTCGTCTGAGTCCATCACGTTGAACAGCTGCCGTCCGCTCGTCCGAGCACCGGGCGTTTCCTGCTCTTACTGCCAGCAGCTCAGGGAGCTGTTGGGCCCTCCTCTGTCCCCTCGGGGTTCACTCCTGGGGGGGAGACCAGGCCGAGTGGCGCTGTGGGCCTGGGGGGCTAGACGGCCAGAGCCACGGTCCAGAGTGGAGGGCCGCATCCTCACGGCGGTTCCCAGGTGTCCTGTGCTGGGATAGCCTGCGCGCCAGCACTCACAGACGGAGGCCTGGAAGCTAGATCTGCGTTGATCGTGATTTACTCAGCAGATATCTCCATTTCTCGTCTATCACCACACTGTATAACGTGGTATCTTTATAGGATTTTTGACCACTGGTCCGCCAGAGAAGATCAGTGGCCACGAGAATGCAGGGAACTCTTTTTCTTTTGTCACCATGGAATGGCGTATTTTTAATAAATGTGGGGCCAGCCAAAAAGTCCGTGTGGTTTCCGTAACATAGAAGGCACATTTTTCATTTTCACCAGTAACGTTCTTGATGTGGACATTTTGGTACGTGGTAGAATCCCCACGTGGCAGGACGTGGATTGTTCTCGGTCAATGTCTCAATTTGATCGCTGTCAACTTCAACTGGTCCACCCAACCAGGGAGCACTGTCTAGCAAGGAATCTCCAGCACAAAACTTTGCAAACCACTTAAAAAAAAGATTTAATATATTTATTTTTAGAGAGAGAGGGGGAGGGAGGGAGAAAGAGAGGGACAGAAATATCAATGTGTGGTTGCCTCTCACACGCCCCCTACTGGGGACCTTGGCCTGCAACCCCAGGCAGGTGCCCTGACTGGGAATCGAACCAGCGACCCTTTGGCTCGCAGGCCAGTGCTCAATACACTGAGCCACACCAGCCGGGGCTGCGAACCACTTTTGACAGCTTCAGTCTGTCACAGCATCTTCTCCATATGCTGCACAAAATTTTTCTGTGTTTCAGTTGCATTTTTACTTTTCTTAAAACATAATATGCCAAAATGTTGCTTATTTCCTTCCACGTTCAGTATCAAAATGGCTACACAAAAATTCCCCGATTTTGATAAGTTGTGTTTTAAAGGCGCGCTGACCGGGCAGCTGACGCCTCACAGCCTGACAAAATTTTTTCGAACGCAGTTAAAGACAACTCGGCGCTCCGAGAGCCCCTCCGGGGAAGCCTCGAGTGGGCTTTGGCCAGGCCAGGATGTCCATCGCTCAGTCTGGATGCGGGGGGCTCAGATTCCTGCCTGGGGGGTGTGTGCACGTGGGAGTGTGTCTCCCCTTGTTCTGAAAACCACTCGTGTGCCCCGGTCAGCTCCCTGGCTGTCCACCGCGCTGAGCTTCTCCCCACGTGTTTCAATGGAGACAGTGGGTAGGTGAAGCTTAATGGAGGCTGACGCGTTTAAAGGTTGGCACTGGTGATGGACAAGGTGTCTTGGGGCCTTCCCAGGGGCAGGTTTCTGAGCTGGGGCACACTGTCCCCCAGGACCCCCGCTCTGTGAAAACGGAGGGGCCCACTCGTTGCTGACAAGCTGCCGTGCTCCACCTGGCCTCCCCCTCCTGGGCGCCCCTTTCCCTTCCTGGGTCTTCCTTTCTCCTGCCTGCCTGGGGCACGATGGGCCAGGGGTGGCTTGGAAGATGCCCGGGAAATAAGCCAAGACTCCCTGCCTGTCTAGCCCCGAGGGCCCAGCCGCACCTCTCCAGGCAGGGGAATGGGTGGCGTCTTCACTCCTGGGCCGTCTCTGCTTCCCAGGAAATGCCGTGTCTGGGGCAAGCTGTGTGCACAGTGTCCCTGGGGAAACTCTGGGGCGCCCCCCAGAGGGCAGCAGGGAACAGCCTCGTGGAGGTGCACGAACATTTGTTTAAAAACCCTCCGATCTCCTTAAGGAGATAAGTGGGCCAAGTCTCCCTGGTGGAAGCACGAGACCCCGTGACGCACAGGCTGTGGGCTGTTTACCAATCAAACCGCCGTCCACCGGGGCCTGGAACGTCGGTCCCTGGAAGCCCCCACTCTGCTGGTCCTGACCCTGCCTCCCCCGCAAGGCCAGGGCTTCCTGACAGTGGACGTCTGTGATGCTGTCAGTCAGTCCCCCTGCCCCGCGGCCCCTCCCAAAGCTGCTCTGCCCTCATCCGTCTGAAGTGCTTTTTCTGTGAAGGGAGCGACTGCCCCGTGACCCAGCTCACCGGGGTCTGTCTGGGTTCCAGGGCCCCATTCTGGGGAGGCAGGTGGTTCTGGGCCAGGTGCGCGGGGGAGGGGGGGCTGGGTGTACAGGTGAGGCTGCAGCTCCCCCCCCAGCACCGACCGGGGGTTCAGAGCCCAGCTGGGGCAGACACTAGTTGCTGGGGACTTCCACAGTGTCGTCTGTGCCCTGAGTGCATGGGGGGGGGGGTTGGGGGGTGGAGTTGCTCAGGCAGCTGACAAGTGAGCAGACGGGGCTGCGAACCCCAAAGCGCAGCGCAGGCCGCCACTGAGCCCATGGAGTGGCAGCAAAGTCACTGGCTCCCCGCCCACAACCTCAGAGAGAGGGAGCCTGTGTCGTCCCCAAGTCAGTGGTGGGAACAGGCCTTGCAGCCGGGCGGTCTAGCTCCGGAGACATGGTCCCATCCACGCGGTTCTGCCCTACCCCTGAACACACGCAGGGTCATGCCCAGCCCCCACTGTGGTGCCTGCCCCAGGTCCCGAGCCGGAGACTGACCGTTTTGCCTTAAAGCTTTTTACTCCTTTCGAGTGGACGCATAACGCTCGCTGACCCCGTGCGCGACCCAGGAGCATCACGGAGTGTTTCTCTGTAGTTTGCAGATGGCGTGTACCTGGTTCTGCTGATGGGCCTGCTGGAGGACTACTTCGTCCCCCTGCACAACTTCTACCTGACCCCGGACAGCTTCGACCAGAAGGTGCGCGCGCGCCTGCGTGCGGGAAGTGCCTGGCGTCGGGCGGAGGGCTCTCTCCGGGCTGAGCTCTGTCCCCCCCCACCCCCACCCCGAACGTGAGCGGCACCGCAAGTGGCGCTGCGGTTCCACAGGCCCCACCCCCCGCACGGGACGGAAGCCCGCTGGTGCGGCGTCCTCTCCCGGGCCTTCCTGCAGGATGAGATCGTCCTTAGTAACTGTGCTCAAATGCCAGCGCAGTTGCACATCCGTCTCCTGTTCTTGCCATGCCCCCGTCATGTCTGGGGTCCCCGCTGCATCATGAGCGTCCCAGGTGCCTTCTTCGCGGGTGGCGCAGTGACCGAGATGCCCCCATCGCGCAGTCAGTGTGTCCCTGTTTTCCTGTATTCACACAGTGGGCGTCTTCTTGAATATATGTATTTCATTCCTGTGTGTTGCTCGTAGGAGAACTCTCCAGTTAGGGTTGTTTGGATCAAAGGGCCTACCCTTTACGTTTGGGTGGCTGGTTCTCTGGTGTTCCTGCCCTGTGTCGCTGGGCCACTTGCCCCCTGCCCAGAGCCCCTCGAAGTTCTGCCATCTGCCAGGATTTGGTTGCCTTTGGAAACCTGGAGTGTGGCCTGACTGTATTGCTTTGGACACATGGGCGTCTGTCATTTTATTTCCCCAAAGTGCTAGTCAGAGAGGCAGACGGCCAGAGGAAGCTCCGGAACTGGGGGAGTGCTCATCTCTCTCTCCTCTGGCACCTGGCAGGCTGTCTGCCTGTGGCTGCAGGTCGGTCCCCTGCTGCCACCGAGATGGAGTCAGCAATTAAGCAGGTCCGGGCAAGTCAGAGCCCACGGCGACCCGGGTGCGTGTGAGCAAGAGAGCGGGGGTCCGGGCGGAGGCAGAACCCAGGCAGGAGACACCGTGTGGTGCAACGTCTGGGGAGGTCCTGGTTTGGTAACAAGGCTCGTTCGTGCATGCCCAGGCCTGAGGCTGCGGCACAGAAACACCGTTTGGGAGAGAACTCTTCTTGGTCTGAGTTAGTGAGAAAGTCGGGGGGAGGGCGGGGGAGGGGCGCGGTGACGTTAGCCAGGCGGTCTGGGCGAGGGTCCCTGCCCGGCCTTCTCCCCTTCAAAACAGGGGTGAGAGTCCTCACTGGTTGCTGCCTTGGGCTGGGAGGCCTGAGGCCTGCTCACGTCTGTGCGGTCCACCTGTGCCTCTGAACTGGGAAGAGAAGGCTGTTCTGGGGTGACATCCCACGCAGGGTGAGCCCACTCATCCTTGGGGAGTGGGACCTCTTGGTGGCCTTGGGGCAGCAGGAGCCGTCCTCAGCAGGTGGCCAGTTCTGGGGGATCCTTGCCAGTCTGTGAGCCTCCCCTTTGCATTCTCCCCTCTCCCCTCAGGGAGCAACGGGGCCCCAGCAGGTTCTTCCCGAGCAGTGAGGCTGTTAAGCCTCCTGGTCCCCCCAACCAGCTCACGGGCGCCATTTCCTGGATGCAAAGATCTGAGCCCACTTCGGGCTGTTCCCAACATTTGAGTTCCCAGGCACCTTGTGCAGATGTGGCAGACGGTGGTGGCAGAGGGGCTGCTCACTAAGTGTCCCCTGGGCCCCTTTGCTCTGGCACTTGGAGCCAGTGAGGCGGCCGGAGACCAAGGTTCAGGTCAGACATGTGTGGTGGGCCGGAGTTCTGAGTGGATCTAAGAAACGAGACAGGTAGGTCCCTTTGGCTCCTGCAGACACTCCTATAAACTCTCTCTGGGGCTCAGGCACCACCCACGGCTCTTTGTTCTAGAGCCATGGATGGGTCTTACTCTGTGCTGGCCATTTTGCTAAGCACTTTGTGCTCATCCTTCGTCTTTCTGGAAGATTCCACAGTGCCTCTCACTCTCTGCAGTGCACGTGGAGGTTATTCCTAGAAGCAAGTACCAGAAAGGGCTCTGCAGTTTCAAAGTCCTTTCCCTCTGTGCCCCCATCTGCTTCCCTCTGTCCCCGACGAGGAAATGGAACGTCGGGAGGTCTGAGACAGCCCAAGGTCAGTCACACGGTCAGTCAGCAGGGGAAGACTCCGTCCCGGAGCCCTCTGTCTTCTCTCACCTGGCCAGGGTCTCCAAAGTCCCTCGCACTGCAGGGAGAAAGGACTGCCGGTGTCCTGCCACATGGCAGACTCCCAGCTGCAGCGTGGGGCTGCGGGGCTCGGTGTGCAGGCCTGGTCCCCGAGGCCCAGGAACCCTGTCACTCCTCGGTCACAGTCAGGGAGGGCAGTCCCACAGCCAGGCTCCGCGTGCCGTGTCCGGGCTTGGGGGCAAAGGCAGGGCCCCGACGGGCAGGCGGAGGGCGGTGGCCGTGTCCTGCTTGGCAGTTCCTGAGACTAAGGAGAAAGCAGGAGGAGACTCTTGCTTCCAAGCCAAGCACCGTGGGGCTGAGGGGCCGGGTGGGGATGTGGAAGGGAGCGTCCCCTGAACTGCTGTCCCCGTGGGGCTGGGTGGGGAGGTTTTGTGACCCACTCACACTCAGTGCCGAACAATTTTGAGGAGCCGCCTCTCCTCTGAGGTCTCGGGCCTGACCGGCGGGGGGCCAGACACCGACAACACCCCCCCATCAGTTACCTGCCTGTGTCGGGGGCGTGGGGAGCAGCCATCGGGCTGTGGGGACCCTGGGAGGCACCGAAAAGATGTTGGCTCCCAAGTCGGGCTGATACGGAAACCCGGCTCTTCTTCCCGGGCCTCCGGCCTTCCACCCTGTCTCGGCTTCGATCCACGGCCTGCTGGGCGTGTGCAAGTCCAGCGCTCAGTGGTGGCATGGGGGCAGGTGCTCGGGGACAGAGGGCTGCTGTCTGCTGGGGACAGAGCCCAGGGCTGGTACCCCTGGGAAGTGACTCATGTTTTCCAAGTCTCACTTTCCTCATCTGTAAAAGGGGCCACTGTCCCTTCTAATGGTGCAGAGGTGCCGGGGCCCAGGGCAGGCACACGGGGACCCTGAGCCCTTAGGGCGGGCTCCGCGCCTTCACCTCCTCGTCTGCCCGCCACCCCCAGTCAGATCCCTGGGAGGGGAGGAAGGACTGTGAGTGAGCGTGTGTTGCCCTCACAGACCTCCGTGTGCCGTGCCCTGCACCGGGCTCCTGGGTCCTCGTGGTCATTGCGGAGACCCAGTCCCTCCACGCCCACTCCCGACCTGACCTTTTAGAAGGAAGGTGGCAGGCAGCAGGCGGGCCTGGGGACCGCCTTGGCCCCGGCGTTAACTCTTGCACCCTTGGCAGGTCCACAACGTGTCCTTCGCCTTTGAGCTGATGCTGGACGGAGGGCTCAAGAAACCCAAGGCGCGGCCAGAAGGTAAGGCCCCAGCCGAGGCCCTCGGGAGGGTTGGGCACCGCTGGGTGGTGCGGCCGGGCCTCCAGGGTGGTGGGAGCCTGGACCTGCCTCTCCCGGTGGGGCTGAGACCTGGTGGCTCACAGGCTGGCTCTGCTGACCCCGGGTCACCCCGGGGACCCCAAGGTTCCTGGTTTGGGGGACCAAGAGGGCTGCGCTGGTAAGAGCCACCAGTGCTAGCCCCTTAGTGACCACTTGACGGGGAAACGTCTGTTCTACCAGCCTCTCCAGAGCCCAGCACTCAGGTGGGGGGGCAGGCGGGGGGCTGTCTCCTGGCCTGGAAGGAAAGCACAGGCTTCCTGCAGGTTAATGGCTGTTGGGTTGGGTCCCTGCTGGCCAGCAAAGGTCGATGCTCAGAGCAAGGGATGGCACGTTCCTGCTCAGTGAGGGGCTGAGCTGGGCCGGGGCCAGGCCCTGCCTTTCTGCCCTTCCTGGCCGCTGGGTCGATGAGCTGTTCTGGGGTTCTCTCCCCTGAGGGAGCATCTAGAGCCGAGAAGGGCTTCCTCAAGCACAAGTTCGGATTCGGGGCCCGCGGGGTGGGCCTGGCCAGTCCTGTTTCCAGTCAGTTTCCAGGTGGCACGACTGCTCCTGGCCGGGGGACCCCAGGGCCCTCCAGCCACAGCGTGCCTTGTGGGCGGGGTGGGTTCGTGACCCCCTAGATGCCCACCTGGGGCGTTTAAGGCCATCCAGGGACAGGAGTTCCATCCTGTGACACATGAACACAGTCCCCCACCCCCAGTCACTTGTCGAAGTCACGGGGAAATTGGGGCTGAGAACTCGGGGCCCGGCTCCCGGGAGGACGGGCGCCCTTCTCTCCAAAGAAGGTACCACACTGCCTGGGCCCCGGCCGTCGTCCCCAAAGCTCCCCGGGGCGGGCCAGCCCTTGTGTCCAAGCTTGAGGGGCAGGACGGCAGCCGCCACCCCATCCCTGCAGGACGCCTGACCCTGCCACGGGCACAGGTTACCCGGCGACCCTTCGGTCCCCTGCGAATGTCCTTGGCTGTTGTTGACCCCACCCCATGTGGATGCCATTGGCCATCACTCTCGTCCCGATGCCGACCCTGGGGGGTGCAGGGGCACCTGTCCTGGCCTCCGCAGGGGCACAGCCCACAGGGTGGCCTGGGGGCTCTCGGGGAGGCCTGTGTCTGGGGACGGCGCTGCCCGGACCGTCCTCAGTGATGGGATGCAGCTGTGCCCGGCGTGGACGGGCACCCGGGCCCTCGGCCCCCGGTGTGGGCCCCCAGTGAGCTCTCTTGTCCTGTACACGGCCCCCCCATTTCCTTCCGCAGACGTGGTGAACCTGGACCTCAAATCCACCCTGCGGGTTCTCTACAACCTGTTCACCAAGTACAAGAACATGGAGTGACCTCGGCGGGGACACCCCTGTAGGAAGGGGCTCTGGCTTCCCCACCCGCCTGCAGTTATAACCCCCCCCCCTTCTCTGGTTGATCTCCTTTCCGCGTGATTTGAATGCAGGGCCCCCAGCACTGGGCTCCGTGCTGGGGTGAGAGGCCCCCTTCGCCAGGGGCTCCTCCGGGAGCTGAGTCAGAGGTTGTTGGCTTGGATCAAACAACGAAAAGGGAAAAAGCCAGTAAAGCCGGAGCCAAACCCTCAGGCCCCCGGAGGGGCACCCTGCGTCCCTTTGGATGGTGCTGTTGGGGCCGGAGCAGCCCGCGGGTCTGGCGGCCCCTCCCAGGCGGGCTGGCCTCCTAAGAAGGCCTTTCTGGTGCGAAGCGCTTTTGCCGTGGCAGGACCGTCCCCCACGTCCCTCACGTCCCTCCTCCCCTGTCGCCCCCTGTTGTTTTCCCTTCGTCGGTGCCCAACATCTAAGACCCAGATGACCTGGCTGCCACCTGCCGGGGCGGCACGGAAGGTCCGTGTTTCTTCCCGAGGGCTGGGCTGGGTGGGAGCCGGCCGTGGAAGTGTCCCATGTCACCTCACCACCCAGGTGGTTACCTCAGGCTGACGGACTGCGTGAGGCCATGATTCCAGCAGAGGGTGTGGCCTTTATGCAAATTATTTGTGTCCCGGTTGGCGCAAAGGTGAGGGTGTGTCTTCCGAACACCCCACGGGACCCCCTAGGGCTGTGCGAGGCTCATTTCCCTTTTCCCACGTCCCAGCGTGGGTCAGCGTCCACCGCGGGGCCTGGGCGGGGGCCAGACTCAGGGTGGGGGGAACTCTGCTGTGGGGACTGAGCCTTCTGCATGAATAACCCATCGTCCCCATGGGTTTGGGGACAGTAGTGGTCTGGCCGTGAGTTCTGGGTCAGGGAAGCGGGACATCTTCTTGGGATAGCAGAAAAACTTTCCTTAATTCTGGAAAGTTCTGGGATGCATATCTTCAGGGACCTGAGTGTTTTTGGAGAGGGACCCCGGTCCGCAGGGACTCAGTGGGAGCCGGGTGAGCCTCCACAGGGCCGAGGGTGCAGTTCCTGTCTGTGTCCTCCTCTGTGGGTTTGCCTGTGACCGCCCCCACTGGCCTCGGGGCGCCCACCTGAGGCACAGTCTCCCCCGGAACAACCACAGCACCGAATCAGCGCACAGCACACGTGTCCCGATTGGGTGTGACACGGAGCTCCGTTGTGTCAAAGCCACCGAGCCCTGTTGCACTCCCGGGTGCGCCAGCCTGCCGTTGTCTTCTGAATCGTGTTAAGCCATGTTTACTTTGGATTTCTGGATATTAAATAAAAGCCACTCAAACCCTGGCGTGTTGTTGACCTGACCTGCTTGGCAGTGGCGGGAAGCTGACCCTTCGTGCGTGGGCTGTGGGCCAGCAGGCCCGACGCTTCTCAACCGGGAACTCGAGGGAGGAGAGCCCGGTGTGGGGCTGATGGGGCGCCGCAGTTCACCCGACACGGAGCCCGTCGTGAGCACGGCTGCCGCGGCCTCTGTTTGTCGGTCACTGGTTGTGCCTGCCCAGAGCCAGGTGCTGGGCCCCGTGACCCCCGCCAAGCCATGCTCAGCAGGAGCCATCGCGCAGCCCTGGGTGGGCAGAGGCCGAGGGTCCCGTGGGCGGGACACGAAGAACGGAGCAGGGCAGGCGGCCCTTCCGCCCAGTCCCAGACTGGATCAGGGGCTGTGGGCGTCCAACGGTGCCGGCCAGGGGAGGCGCCGCTCCGGGGGTGGGCGAGGGCCACCCAGAGGCCCACGACGGTGGCCTTCCCTGGGGGTGTCACAGGGACTTCAGGGCCATCGGACTCCCCTCTAAAAAAGGTCAAAACTGTGACAAGGAGCAGACGGCCAGACTGAGAGCAAGGCCACAGCACTGTTCAAAAAAAACAAAAAAACCCACCAAAATCACGGACTTGCGGGAAAGAGCCGGGCTTTGGAGAAAGCTGGGCTCACATCTGGCCCAGCTCTGGTTGGATGGCAGGTCAGTTAGTCCACCTGCGCTTCCCAGAGCCACCCCTCCCTGGGGCCAGCCCTCCTGCCCTTGAAATTTGGGCCTTCTTGGCAGTGACATCTGGGGACAGTTTGACTTGTCACACTGGGTGAGGTGGTGCCACTGGCATGTGGCAGGTGGTCCCTGGGGGGCTGACAAACTTCCTTCAACGCACAAGACAGGTTCCTCTTCCCCTGACACTGTCCCCCGGGCCTACTGCTGGTCACACTGAGGTTGAGAGGATGCGGGCCCCCGAGCCAGCCCGTGTCAGCCTGCGCTTTTACTGGGAGGAGCCTGTGAATATGGACCCAGGTAGAGCACGGTTAGTTCTTGTGGGCCAGCCCTAACCCTCCGTACCTTTGGGTTGCTCCTGTTCAGGGGACATTCTCCAAGGGTCTGTTTGATCCAAGGGCCCTGTGACCCAGCCAGGCCGCTGCCCTTGTGCCACAGAGAGAGGAACAGCAGTTCACAGGGGTCGCTGGGGGAGGCAGGGGCCCAGGGAGTGGCCGAGGAGAAGCTGAAGTTTTCCGAGGGGCGAGTCAGGACCTTCTGGAGAAGGAGGGGGGACAGGAAGGGCTTTGGGTTGACACGGAGTGGAGGCGGGCCCGGCTCCCCGTAGTGCTCTGTCTTTATAGAAGTTGTTTTGTCTCCTTTCTCCTGGGTGGACACCCCGGCGTGACTGGCATGCACTCAGGAGAGCCTTGAATTCAGCCATTCTCTCCCTGGGGGGAGTCTGCTGATGGAGGGTGGGGGTCTCCACTTCCGTCAGGGTCTCCTGTGTGTGGCCAGCATCTGGGGAACAACTGTGACATTAATTACATGGCCACTTGCCCTCAGCAGAATCTGTAGTGCCTCAGAGTGGTCACAGACAGCAAACCTTCTCTGTGATACAGCCCACGTCCGCTCGGTGCAGGCCGATGCCAAGTCCAGACTCCGAGCGCGCCCACGAGAGCCGTGTAGTCCCGCCCTTCCGGCCAGTGCAGCAGGCCTCAGACCCCACGGCGAGGGCATCACTCTCGTGAACCCGGCCCATCCTCTGCCCAGACCGGGTGTCTTCTCCAGGGTCCACAGCCTTGCAGCCCCCTCCCCCACTTGGTCCCCTGTTTTGTGCCGACAGAAAGTAGTGAGCATTTGCAGTTTTTTTAAGAAAGACACAAGCCCTTTTCCCTGTGGCTTGACTTAGTGTCTGTCCTCTGGAACAGGCTGAAACTGACTGTCCTTTAAGTCTGGGGGCGGGGAAGGAGGACAGGGACAGGGAACAGAACTGGCGTCCCCTCGCCCGGCACGGGTGCCTCAGAGGTCACTGTGGAGCTTCCTGGCAGGGGAGCACCCCTCCCCCAACCCCGTCAGACGTGGAGGCCAGGCTGCCTGTGCAGCACCATGATTCAACGGGGCCCTGGACTTCTCTGCAGGCCATGATTCCAATCTCAGAGTCCCCCTCTTCCCCCCACGACACCCTGCCTGTCTCATGCAAACCTGGTGCTTCAGGCTGCGCGGTGACCCACAGGTGCGGGGTCCGGGCCTGACTTTCAGCTCCAAGAGCCTGCGGCCTCAGGCAGCAGGGGCTCCCCCGGGGCTCCCCGAGGAGCTGGAGCCCGAGACTGCTCTTTTCTGAACTCTCTGGGGTGACAGGGAAGGGCAAACAGCCGCGGTCCTCCCGCACACCGTGCTCCCCATCCTGGGTAGGACATGGCGCACAGCTGGGCCGCGCTCGCCGCTCTCCGCACCCTCTCCTTCCTCCCCGGGAGCGCGAGGACCCTGCCGCAGAAAGGCGGGTGGTACGTTCGAGGATCAGGAGGGGGCCAGCCTGGCCGGGCCTGAGGGTGGGAGGGGTTCGCAGATGGAGCTGCAGGGCAGGGCTGACTTGTGCAGACTGGGTTTTTTGTTTATTTGTATTTATAGATTTTTTTTTAGAAAAGGAAGGGAGGAAGAGACAGAAACGTCCATTTGCTGTTCCACTTAAGCATTCCGTGCTTGACTTGTGCATGTGCCCTGATGGGGGATCGAACCTGCAACCTTGGCATAGCAGGACAACACTCTAACCAACCGAGCTACTCGGCCAGGGCCGGTGGACTTATTTCAAGAGCTACAGGATGCCATTGGTGGGTGTGGGTGAGTTGGGCCGAGAAGCAGGTCCTCTGGTTGCTTGTGGAGAACAACTTGGGTGGGAGTTGGGGGCGTGCGAGAAGCCAGCAGCCCAGGCGGGGCCCCTGCAGGAGGCTCCCGTGTGGCCCAGGCAAGAAGAAAGGGATCTTCGCCAGGTGGGGGCTGGGGGGCCTCGGGGAAGCCGACTTCCACCCTGTGGCCTCATGGCTGGGTGCCATCTGGGGAGGAACAGGCTGGGTTTGTGTAGTGGTGGGGGTGGGGGAGGAAGAAGAAATATTAAATTCGAGTTGCGTACGAGGCACCCAGGGGGCCGGGAGGTGTGGCTGAGTGGCGGGCTCCGGGGCAGAGCGCTCGGGCGGGTCTGCGGTGGCATTTCTGGAGGCCCCAGGCCTGCAGCCCAGCGGGAGGAAGCGGCCTGCAGACACAGCCGGCCCAGCGGACCCTGCAGAAGCCGCGGCCCAGCCCAGAGGAAGTGAGCCGCCCGGCCTCTGCCTCCTGGGGCCCTGCAGCCCCCTGCTGATCTGGGGAACCTGGAACCTGCCTCTGTGAGGAGCCCGGGCACCGTTTCAGCTCCGTGACCCTGGTTTCCTTGTGTGGAGGAAGCAGCCAGGTGAGTCCTGCATCTCCGCCCCGGGAGTCCCGGGGGCACTCTCTGTCCCCAGTGCTCGGGAGTCGGAGCTCACACAGGGAGGGCCCGAGGGGCAGTGGGAGCTGAGCCCAGAGAGCACAGGCAGCCAGCAAAGTGGCCCTGTGTACCCAACGTCATCCCCCGACACTGAGAGGCACCACTCCTTCCTCCCCTGAGGCCCAGGGGGGCAGAAGGGCTTTGCCCCTTCTCTGCACAGTCAGCTGAATCGATGCTGTTCACTGTGGCTTCTCCCCTGGGCCTCATCCACCCCGAGTCTTCAAAGGGAGAAACCGAGGCCTGGGCAGAGAAGGGACTGCCTGGGCTACTGACGGCTACAGGCAGCTCCCAGCTCTACGTTCACGGGGCTGCCTTTGGCTGGCATGCAGTCCGGCCCCTCCTTGTAAAGAAGCAGCAGGACCAGAGAAGGGAGGGCGTTTAACCGAAGTCACACAGCCAGAATGAGGAAGAGCTGGCCTGGAAGTTAGGGTTCCGAACGCCCGGGCCTGCCTCTTTCCTCTTCTCTGGCCACAGCCCTCAAACCGAACCCCAGTGTCCAACAGGAGGCTTGGGGGTACAGGGGACAGGGCCAGCCCAGCAGCAGTGTTCTCCTCCCTACCCCACTTCAGGACAGGCCGGTCCCTGGGTGTCCCCAGGCCGGCTGCTGCTGCTACATGGTGGGGGCGGGGGGCGGGTAGTGCGGGGCTTTGGCCCCATGAAGCCTTCTGAGCACAACTCTGGGCCCTGCTGCTGGGGCTGGAGCTGACCACCGGCTCAGCCACAGGTGCCTGGGCCCCAGATATCTTGTTGGGGTTGGGAACTCGGGGAGGCCGGGGCTGGAGAGGGAAAGACGGAGGCAAGGCTGCGCACAGCAGGAGAGGAAGTGGGGAGGGGAACAGGAAGGCGGCCCGGCTGGGCCTGAATCCACCGCCCCCGGCCTGGTGGGAGCTGGTGCCCCCCCCAGATTGAAGTCATGTACACTCTGTGGGTGCTGTCATGAGTGTGAGACCCCCAAACCACCTGAGGAGGAACCCGACTGCAGGAGCCTTGGTCGGAATTGGGGGCCAGGCTGGGCCAGGCCAACCCCGAGCACTCAAGCTGGAGCAGGGGGGCCAGCCCAGGGGACAGTGGCACTCGGGCTTTGGCCCGCTCACTCAGGGGCCGGAGGTGCTGCTCTCTGCCCCGCTGTCTCAGGCTGGGCCATGCACCCCGTACTGCGGGCTCCAGGTCTGTGGGTAACACCCATCAGCATGTCAGCATGTTCCCCCATGCCGATCTCCCTTTTGAGCTCAGGGGTTCCCGGATTGGTCAAGCTGTGAGGAGTGGGCACCCACTTTGTCCTGACCGCGGGGTGTGCTGGGAGGTGGTATATATTGTGGGGGCGGTGTGCTTCCTGTGCTGTAGGAGCAGGGTGCCCGGCCGAGGACTCCCCAGCCCCCGCTGAGCCTGTACCCGGCGGTACCCTCACCGAGTGCCTTTCGCCACCTACAGTCCTGGCTGCCTGCTGCCTTCAGGGCCGCTGACCCCTTGCCCAGGCAGCATGGTGACCTGTCCGCCAGAGCCAGACCCACCCTTTCCCCCCGCCTCTTGATCTGGAAGCAATAACACAGTGGGTTTGGGGCTCCGAGGACCATGACGCCCTCTGTCCCCTGCACCCCCAGGACCGGCAAGGAGAATGGAAGATGACCCCCTCTACCTCCTGCTGCAGTTCCCTAAGGGGGCGGGCCCTCCGGCAGAGCAGGAAGAACTCCTGCAAGGTGCGTGCCAGGGTCAGAGGGCGGAGGGGAGGGTCTGCACGGCAGAACCAGCGGGCGGTGCCGGGGACTTGCACTCTTTCCGATTGTCACTGAGCACTAGTTCTGTGCAGCCCCTGCCTGGAGGGAGGTGGCAGGCGCCCAAGGTTGTCCTCACCCTGTAACAGGAAACAGGCTTGGAGCGACCCCACAGCCCCCCCGGCAGAGGCGTGAGGCGACCCTGCTGGCACCTAGGGGATGCTACAACCCAAATGCGGTGGCGGAGAAGCCCTGTGGGGGGGGATGTGCAGGAAAAACCGGGGCACGGGCTCTCCGGTCCCTGGGAGCACCGAGCTCTAAAACAGGCGTGGGGCCCGCCAGCTGTGCTCCGGAGTCGCAGGCCGACTTCATTCGCGTCTGGGGCTCTCTGCTTTCGGTTTAAGGCAGCGGCTGTTCGGGTGCAGGGGTCAGTGGTGAGGAAAAACATTTACTTTAGTTTCAGAGCTGATTTAGAGATCATTAAAGCAGAGCAGGGACGTAGGGTGGTGGAGTGGCCAGCAGTCTGTCCAGGCAGGGAGGGGCAGTGTCCCCACGGCCCTTCCTTCGTCCACTCCCTTGCTGGCCCCCCGCTTCCCGGTGCCCCACACAGACAGCCATCCCCCCTCCCGTCAGAAGACACAGGCTGGGTGGTCCTTGAAGGTTTGCAGGATGTCTAGGAGGGTCTCGAGCCAGGCCACGGGAGGACAGAGGCATGTGTTCTATTAACTTGGGCAAGGCCATCTCCACACGGTGGCTGAGTTTCCCCCATGTCCACTGGGCCCAGGTGACCTCTCGGGTCCCCATCAGCCCTGACGTTCTGTGCCTCTGTGAGTCTAATGCAGGGAAGCCACTGAGCAGGCTGCCAGGGCTCAGAGAGCCAGCTGGGCGCCGGTGTCCTGCCCCTGCCCGGGAGCCCGGAGGGCGTGGGGGGTCGCCTCAGCCCTGGGGGCTCGTCGGGGCTGTGGCTTCTTCTCCTTCCGTAAGTGGGCAGAGCTGCCGGATGAAACGGGGCACCCAGTTAAATTCGGATTTCAGACAAACAAGAAATAGTTTTAAAGTGTGTTCCCAAAACACAGATATTGCAGCGTCCGAGAGTGAGCGGAGTTCCTGAGGGAAACTCGGGGAGGGCACGTGGGGTGCGGGGGGCCAGCCCGCGCCAGGGGAGGGTGGCAGGCCGGCCGGGCCTGTTCAAACCCCGAGTCGCTGTGGCTGTTTGGTGCTCAGGGCATGTGTGTCTGAGTCTGTGTGGTGTGTGTGCAGGCATGTACCAGTGTGTGTGCATGCAGTGTGTGTGTGCACATGTCCGGGTGTGTCCTGGGTGCCTGTGTGTGTATTGGTGTGTGGGGGTGACTCTGACATTTGTGTTCATGTGTGCACACGCATGTGCACCCATGTGTGAAGCCAGGGGACCAAGTTCCCCGTGTGGTCAAGGGGACAGGTTGACGGGTAACCTGCAGGGACAGAACTTCCAGGGCCCTGCTGGGTCCACAGACGCGCGTCACACTCACCTCTGCTTCCAGGAGAAAAGAAGAAATTCCTGCCCCCCACGTCCCGGGAGGACCCCAAATTTGAAGAATTGCAAAAGGTAAGGCAACGACCTCTTTGATCCTGCTTTTCATCTTCTTGGGGTGGGGACAGCAGGTCAGCCTGCCCCGCCAACCTCAGGCTGCCAGGTGGCGATGCCCCAGGCCCCCAGACACCTGTTGAATGGCTGCATGATGGGACATTTATTGAGCACTAACTGTATACCTTTATACACGTGATCCCAGCAAGCCTCTTGGGATTGAGAGGTATCTGCGGTCACCGGCATCCCAGGGAGGGGACAACAATGGTCAGAAAGGCGAGCTGACCTGTGGGGGACACACGGCCGGCTGGCAGCAGAGCTGGGGCTTGGCCAGGCCATCGGCCCAAAGCTTGGGCTCCTTCGCTCGCTCAGCTCCCCACAGCCACAGGCAGCTGGTGGTGGGACACTGAGTGGACCCCACATGGTCCCCTCTGGACAACCTGGCAGGGTGCTGACATGTCGTCTTGGCTTGGGCTCCTCCAAAAACTGATCCCAACATGAGGACGTGGGTGCAAGCCACTGAGCTGGGAGGTGACAATCATGGGTGACAGGGAAGGAGGGAAGTAAGACGGGAGAGAAGGCCCTGCCCCCAGGGTGAGTGATGAAGCAGGTGGCAACCGTGGGGGCTCAGGCCTGCGGGGCACCAGCATGGGCAGCGCCACAGACAGCGCCTGCCCAGCGGGGGAGGAGCCTGGCGTTCACACACCAAGCCCTGGTTAGCGTGGGGCCACTCCCTCAAAGGGAGAGGTGTTCACTCTCCATCGCCAGGAGCACAGGCAGAGGCGGGGCTGGCCTGCGGGGGAGCCGCGGCCGGTGTGCCCCACAATGGTAAAGGTTAGGGCCTGGGAGGGGACACCAGCAGCCCCGTTTCACTAACACCCTACACAGGACCCACAACAGCCTCCTGGTGCCCAGGTCGGTGGTGGAGGGAAGCAGAGGGCTCTTGGGAGCCTAGACCAGGCCCTAACTCAGTCTGAGAGATCTGGGAGGGCTTCCTAGCGGAGGTGACATTGGAGCTGTCCTTGAAGGATGGGTGGCAGTTGGCAGGCAGGAAAAGGGTGTTATGGGATGGAGGGCAGCGCTGTGCAAGGTGAGGGGCCAGGTGGGAAGCGGCCCCCCGTCAGCATCCTCTGGGGGCCCGCAGGCGCTGATGGAGTGGGTCAACGCCGAGCTCCTGCCAGAGCACATTGTGGTTCGGAGCCTGGAGGAGGACATGTTTGATGGGCTCATCCTGCACCACCTTTTCCGTAAGTGGCGGTCTCCCCCACACCTGCTCCCTGCAGGTGAGCTCTCCGCCCAACCTCATCCCCCTCTGTGGCTCAGCTCTGGGCCACAGTTCTTGTGTCGTTTCTGCTAAATCGTGGGCTCCCCACCTCCATGCTACCTCAAAAGCATTTATGTAGTGCTTGCTGTTTGTAGGCTGCTGGGGATAACAAACAAACCCGGCGGCTGGAGGGAGGGCAGGCTTCGAGGTGGCCCAGCAGCTCCGGCCTGGAAAGCCCCCTCAGGGCCACCACCTGACCCTCTGGGCCTCTCCCACCTACCCTCTGCCTTTGCTGGTGTGAAGTCGAGTTGGTCCAAGGTGCGAGAAGCTGGGTGGTGCTGGAGGGCGGTGGGTCTGATTCTGGACCTTGGTGAGCCGAGAGCCGCCGTTTACAGGGGGCCGGGGAGCAATTCCGCAGCCTCGGCTAAGGCTTCCTGAATCCTTACTGTGGGGCAGGTGGGGGTCATTTCAGAACGGCTCCGTGAGGTTGCTGTCCCCATCTCACAGAGGAGCAAACCGAGGCTCACAGTGAAGGAAGCAGGCAGATGCGCTTTAACCGTTGGTGGCCGCACTGCCTTGCAGAAAGGAAGTAGGGGGAGCTGGGGGCGGGCATGGGAGTGGTCAGAGTGAGGGGCGGGGCTTGCTCAGGACCCACAGCTGGTCTGCCCACGTGGGCAGGGGTTGGAGCCAGGCTCGGTCTCTGCCGGGAAGCACCCAGGCTGTGGGTCCCCCCTGCAGGGCCCCAAACTCCGTCTCCCCTCCCCTCTCCTGCTTTTTCTCCTTTTCCTGCCCTTACCACCCGCGCTGTCCCCTCCCTAACCCAGAGAAGCTGGCGGGGATCAAACTGGACGTGGAGGAGATCGCCTTGACTGCCGTGAGCCAGAGGCGCAAGCTGGAGGCCGTCCTGGAGGCCACCAACCTCAGCCTGCAGGGGGACGACAAGCAGCCGGTCAAGTGGAGCGTGGACGGTACCAGGGCTCAGAGGGCGGAGGGCAGGGTAGGGCCGGAGAGCCTGGGTCCTTCCTTCAGAGTGGGGGCGGCTTCCCTTTCATCCACGAGGCACGGGCTCAGCTGCCTCCTCAGGTGAGGGCACAGCCTGGGGGCTGGAAGGAGGCAGAGCCGCAGGCAGGTGCAGAGTGGGCACCAAGTCACGCTCCCAGCTGAGGAGCACACAGCCCCGCCCCGAGGGCGTCACGGCAGCGACACAGCCCGAGGGCAGTACCCGGTCTGGTCTGTGGCACGGCCACTGCTCAGAGTTCCCTGGCCCATCACGCGCCCACTGCCCTTCGAGAGGGTCCCCCTTAGACCCCTCTCCTGCACTTGGTTCCGTTACCTCTGCAGCGCCTGCTTGTAAGACGTGAGGCTGTGCAAAGCACCCGAGCTTCCCGCCCCATAAGTCTGCGGTGGGAGACTCCTGTTGCTCCAATCTCCACATGCTCCCCATTTTCCTGACAGGCAGACGGAGGCTGAAGGAGCCGAGCAGTCCCTCCAAGGCTGGGGCGGTGGTGTGGCAGTCTGCACAGCCACTTTGTGTTGGGCAGGCCACTCCCTCACCACTCGGTTTCAGGTCTCCCCTTCAGGGACCGGTGCTCACAGTGGTGACCTGGGTCAAGTCACACTCAGCTGGACTCTAACAGTTTGTCCAGCCGGTGTCCCCACTGTAGGACAGGACACGCGGTTGTTTTCCGCAGTAGACTGCCCTTTGGAGAGCACCTCCGTGCCCAACCCCGGCCCCTGGGGGGCTGCGTTCACAGGTGGGGGGCCCAGGGCCACCATGCTGTGTTAGGTCTGAGTGACGATCTCCAGGCCTCTGCTGTCCAGCGGGCTGGACACCCATCTCTGTGGTCTGCAGAGGGTTGTCATGACGATAAGGAGACCTCCGTGGGGTCCCAGGTATGGGTGGCCCCTCAGCTCTGACCTCGTGTCCCTCTCCCCTCCCAGCCATCTTCAACAAGGACCTGCTGGCCACCCTGCATCTCCTCGTGGCTCTGGCCAAGCGCTTCCAGCCCAGCCTGCCCCTCCCCACCAATGTCCAGGTGGAGGTGATCACCCTGGAGGTAATGGCTGGGTGGAGGGGGCTCACTGCGTGGAGCGAGCTTCCTGGGTCTGCCTCACCACCCTCTGGATTGGGGGTGCTGCGGGGGGAAATGGGGGAGCCAAGTGTGTTCCAGAAAACCGTGAGAACTGTGCACCCCCAGAAGGGCAGCAGTGGATGCTGGGCTGGAGCTGTGGGGGGAGATGCCGAGGTACCAGGGGAGGCGGCAGGGACCCAGAGAGGCCATGCAGGGGTTGGTGACTTATGTTAGCAGGTGGCCCCTGCCGGGCGGGGGGGGGTTGTTATGAAGGTCCTGGCTGCTGGCAGCCACATCACCTGGGCCATAGTGGCCATTTGTCCATGGCCTTTTGGGAGCCCTGACACCACAGAGTCCTAGCCACTGTCCTTGGCATTGTCTCTCATTCACTAGCCAATGACTATGACGACGGTCCCGGGCTTTCTCCACCCCGAGGGGCACTCTGTCGAGTATGTGCATGGCTTGTGCTGTGGTTGAGGCCCAGGAGTCCGAAGCCGAGGACCTCTCTCTCAGACTCAGCACCGCAGATGGGGCCCTGTCTGCTCCCCGGTGCACACCTTTCATGTGACCCGGCAGAGTACGCCAAGTCCAGCCTCGCTCACCTGAGTGATTCTTACTTCTCTCAAAACCATTAATTAAAATGATCCACGGAGCAGTTTCATGGGCTTTGTTTATGCTCCTTCTATAAGTCAGAGGGGACTCCATTTCTTCACTCCTTCAGTTACTCACCCACCCATCCATCCACTCATCTGTCCACCCATCCAACCATCCTCCCATCCATCCATCCATCCACTCATCCATCCACATATCCTCCCATCCACCCATCCATCCATCCATCCATCCATCCATCCATCCACATATCCTCCCATCCACCCATCCGTCCATCCATCCATCCATCCATCCATCCACCCATCCATCCATCCATCCATCCACCCACTCATCCATCCACATATCCTCCCATCCATCCATCCATCCACCCACCCATCACCCATCTGTCCACTCATCCATCCATCTGTCCACTCACACCATTCATTATTCAGATCAATTTACTTATTGGCCTCTCTGAACCAGGCACTGGGCGAGACTCGGATACTTGGGGAAGAAGGCAGACTCGGTCCCAGTCCTCTTGGGCTCGAGGCCCATGGAGGAAGGACTGTCAACCAGCCCCCCTGCTGAGATTGCCCAGGAGGCCCAGAGGGGCACTACAGCAGGGTCGCCCGGGGTCCTCTGGGCTGCTCAGGCCCCCGCAAGACTGATCAGCAGGTGGGGGGCCCTGAGTTTTCCGGGACCACAGTTCCTTCCCCCCTTTCCCCCCTCAGAGCACCAAGAGCGGCCTGAAGTCAGAGAAGTCCGTGGAGCAGCTCACCGAGTGCAGGTGAGGGTGGGTCAGGCCTGGGCCGGCCAGGGCGAGGTGGGCGGGCCTGCCTGACCTTCAGTGTGGGGGTGCTCACACTCCCCGAGCCGTGGGGGCGCCCCAGGGCCCTTCCTGTGCTGGGCCTCTCCAGCATGTGCACGGGGCACCCCGCTGACCAAGCCCCTTGGCCCGTTTCACCCCTACAAAGCCCCGCTGGGAGAGGTCAGTTCTCCTCGGCCTGTAGGCCTGACGGTCAGTGCCACCTGGGCTCCAACCCAGGCTCGGCCCTGTGTGAGCTGTGTGACCTCGGGCAAGTTACTTCCCCTCTCTGAGCCTCTTGCTCCTCTGAAAAATGGGACCCATTCCTACCTGTTGAGGCTGTTGTGAGGGTTATAGATGATGTGTGGGAGGTGACCTTCCCCCACCCCGTACCCCCAAGTCCCGAGGTCCTCCCAGTCTAGGACACCTGGATTTCCACTGGAGAGTGGGGGTGGGCCTTGAACCACAGTAGGCAAGGGACAGCCATGCCCCAAGCAAGCGAGCTGAGCATGGCAGGGCCCAGAGTTGGCAGGCCAGGCTGGCCCCTCACGTTGGTGGGTTCTGGGAACATGTTAGCCCATTTAACTTCCCCACGGACACCCCTGGGGGCGACCTTGTCCCTTCCACCCAGACCCAAGTGGCCCCCTGGGGACCTGCTCTGAACGGACTCCAGCGAGGCCGAAGCTTCAGGGTCTGAGAATGAGTTCGGCGCACTTGCGGGGGGTGACTGAAGTCCATGGCACCAAGTCCCTTCCTCCTCTGTGACCCTCAAACTGCCCTTCTCTGCCCCGTGAGCCCAGAAACCGCTGTGAGCCCACCTCTGGTTCTCCGCGTGTGTAGACGTTTCATGTGCCAGGGACTGTCACATTAAAAAATCGGAAGTCTCAAGATTTTTTAACCATGTGTTCACTTGGTGTTTGCTTTTCTCTCCTCTCCCATTTCCCCCTCAGCACAGACAAGGACCAGCCTTCAAGTGAGTGCTTCTATGGCTGAAGAAAATCTGCTTCTATCCGATATGTGTTCGAACAGCGGCCCCCGGCCTGCGTGGCACCAGGGCCTGCTTTTGTGGAAGACAGCCTTCCCACGGACTGGGTGGGAGGGGAACAGGAGGCCAGCTCAGGCAGAATGCACCTGAACTCGGAGCTTCTCTGGCTGGCCCCGCCGCTCACCTCCTGCGTGCGGCCTGGTTCCTGGGTCCCCAACAGGACTGCTGGTCTGTGGCCTGGGGGCTGGGGCCCCTGTGTTAAAACCGCGAGGGGTTCGTTTCTGGACGTCCTCTCCCATTTCCTCTGTGGTCTGCCTTTGCGGCTCGGGCTTTCCTCTGGCCCCTTGTGCCCCTCTCTGCCTGTCTTTGCTCAGGCCTGGCTGCTCCTTCTGGTGGCCCTGCTCCTGTGGGTCGAGGGTTCATAGTTCCCCTTGGTAGTGGTGGTGGGATTGTGCAGTGTGTGGGTGCTGGAACGAAGGCCTGGCTCCAGACACCATTTCTCCCATTTATTAGCCACGTGAACTTGGGCAAGTCTCGTAGTCCATCTGAGCTTCAGTCTCCTCGTCTGTGAAATGGGGTTAATGGTGCCCCCCTGTTAGATCTGTAAGTGTGTTTAGCACAGTGTGAGCACTTCTCGGTGATTGTTCAGCAGTGTGGCTGCTGCTCTTGTGACAGAGCCCGTCACCAGGCACCTGGGAGAGCTCCGTACCCTCGTTGTGCCACCACAGACACCCACGAAGGGACTTGCGGGCTGAGTATCGGTCCCGACCCCAGCTCACCACCTATGGCAGCTCTGGAGGCCATGTGGGTGGAGCAGGGACCTGGGTGGAGGCCAGGCCCGCCCCCAGAGGGAGGGGCAGTGGCGAACGCACAGTGCCAGGCGCCCCACAGAGAGGAGGACCGTTCACTGAGGCTCGGCTGGGTGCCCAGCCTCCAGGTCCTGCTCTGATCCTTGCAACCACCCTGCCTGGGAGGTACAATGGGCCGCACTTTGCAGGTGAGGAGACCAAGGCCCAGAGAGAGGCGGCCCAGCCCCCAGCCAGGGAAGCGGTGACTTGGATCCAGGCCTACTTTTAAATTCAAGAACCTTAAGCTCAAACTATAGTTCCCTCTGGACTGATGACTCAGAGAAACTTTTGTGGAAAAAACTCCCTGTTTGGCTCAAAGATAATAGCATTGTAATGAGGTGTTTATTGGATCTGTCTGCAGAAGACGTCTTTGATGAGTTATTCAGGCTGGCCCCGGGGAAAGTGAAGGCCGTGAAAGAGGTGAGAGAGCAGACAGAACTCCACCCCTGCCTCCCGCCTGCCTTGTGCCTCGGGCCACACCCGCTGGGCGCTGTGGGGGGAGGTGCAGGGCTCCCTGTCCCCCCAGCGGGAAGGTCGCAAACCTGAGCCTGGGTTCCGTGTTCTTTCGTGGGTAGGCCATCACCACCTTCATCAACCAGAAGCTGGAGGGCCTGGGCCTGTCTGTGCAGGACCTGGACACACAGGTAGGGGCTCGGCCGTGGGGCGCCCAGGCGGGGACAGCTGTCAGGGAAGAGGGCCCACAGGACACTGGGAGCCGCCCAGCTTGTGTGGCCTGGGGTGGGGTGGGGGTGTGTCACCTCTCGGGGCCTTGGGGTCCTCCTCTCCAACCAGGGGTGTTGCTGGCAGGCAGCATCGCCAGCCAGGGACACTGTGGGGGGTCCCGTGAGCTGGGGACCCGCTTTGGAGGGGCCCATCGATGCTGTCCTTACTTTTCATGATAAAATAAGCACTTTTAGCTGGTTTTTCCAGATTAACCATAGACGGGCAGGTGCCAGACTCAAAGTGCGTGTGCACTGGCTGTGTTGTACACGCACCATGGCGTTGGTGAGGTTTGTGTATGTGCCCCGAGTGGCAGGTGCCGACTCCGCCCCACAGCCATGGGCTGACATGCACCAAATTGGCCCGGGGAGGACCTAGGCCGTGTGCGTTCCCTCAACGCAGGGGCATCAGGAAAGCCGAGAGGTGGATCGCCAGTGTGGCGCTGGGCGGGAGGGGCAGGTGTGGCCACCTGGGCTGTGCTCAGGCGGTGTGGCTGGGGCAGAGAGGTCAAGGCCAGCCCCAGGTGGACTGCATGGCTTATAGTGATCTCAGCCAGAGATGCTGACTTCTCAGACACACCCTGATGTCAGCCAGCGAGGCCAGGGGTTGCTGGCCTCTGGGACCTGGCAGCTAAAGCCAGCAAAGCCCTCATCATGTGCCAGTCCCCAAGCAAAGCACTTTACAGACCTCATCTCCTGGAGGCCTCCCAGCAACTCCTGAGCTGGGAGCTGGTGCTCTCCCGTTTCACAGATGAGCACATGAAGGCCCAGAGAGGTAAATGGACTCATCTAGGGTCACACAGCATCTGAACCCCAGCCTGCTAAAGCCAGAGTCTGTGCTCATCACCGCCTCATGTGGTGGCCACAGGGGAAGCCTGTGGGATGTGGCGTGGGGACACAACAGGGTGGAGCCACCAGAGGGACACGTGTTGCCCCTGGGCTCTGAGGACACCTCCACCCTGGGTATGCGCCCTTGGGCCTGGGTTTCTCTGAGCCTCAGGCCCCTTTTCTTTTAAAATGGGTGCAAGGATACCAGCCTCACGGAACTGCGAGCAGTGAATGAGGTAACGGCCGTGTGCCCTGGGGGCGTGCCGTGCCTGATGAATTTGCGTTTCATTACTTAGCACGGAGTGCAGACAGGGTGACTTACTCGGGCTACATTCAGCCTGTGTCATCCTTCTCCCTTTCCCGGCGAAACTGTGGTGTTCAGACGGGGTGGCCCGGGCAAGGATGGCATTCAGAGATGGCTGGACAGGAGGGGCTTTGGGGGCCTTGGCATTTTGGTGGCATCACCAGGACAGAGCAGCAGAAAAGATTTCAGGCCAAGCGAAGACAATCAGAGAGGACCTGACGTGAGACATTTCTGTCAGGGTCTTCGAGTGGAGGTTTTCCTCCGATATCCAGCCTCGCACTTTGCCTCTTTGAGGAGGTGGGACGGGACTGGATCAGCACAGGCCGCGAGGTGCGGGAAGCCGGCTTTGTCTCCGAGCGCTCAGACAGGACGGGCGGAGATGTTAGCACGGGGACGGCACCGTGAGCCGCGCTGTTCTCTGACTCCTCTTGACAGAACAGTTTCACACTGAACTCTGCTTCCGCCCGTGCTGCAGGGGCTCAGAGGCCAGGGTATGGTCGGTCAGCAGAACGAGGGGAGGCGGGCTCCCCAGTGCAGGCCACAGCTCCTTCAATGGGCACAGACCAGGTGCCAGGCCGCCGTAACCGCTTTGTGCTCACTGTGGCCAGTGTCTACGATGATGCTTCAAGGTCAAGGATGCCTTTCCCAAAGAGGACGCTGAGGCCCAGAGAGGCTGTGCGACCTCCGTGGGCCCACGCGGCCCGAGGGGCAGAGCGGGACCCCCGGGCCGGCCGCATGCCTCCCCTCTAGCACCCTCCCTTGTAGTTGGCAGATGGAGTCATCTTACTCCTGCTGATTGGACACCTGGAAGGCTTCTTCCTGCACTTGAAGGAATTCTACCTCACGCCCAGCTCCCCTGCGGAAATGGTAAGTTTCCAAAGACACTTCTAGGGGGTCTGCTTCTGAGCGGACCCATCCACGGCATCTGCACAGCCTGCCTTTGTCCATTTACCTCCGGGGGGAAGGGCGAGCCAAGAGGAAGTCTGTTTGCCTGTGTGTCTGCCCACCCAGCCTCCACCCCTCTGCTGCCTTGCCCATCCACCCGTCCACCCAGTTCTTTCACCCCTTCCTCCTCCACCTGTTCACCCACCCACCCATTCACCCACCCACCCACAATGCACCTCATCCCTCATTTTGGGAGGCCCCACTTGGGGTAAGGCCCTGTGCTGCGGGGGCCTGCTTCTGCGACTCCTCAGTCTCCACCCGCTGTGCACTCAATGCTGCATAGCCTTCCGGGCTGGGAGGAGGCGCCGGCTCACGGGTGTGTGTGTGTGTGTGTGTGTGTGTGTGTGTGTGTGTGCAGCGGGGGCGGGGTGGGTCAGAGGAAAGGGTGGCTAGGGTGTCCTGAAGAGATCAGGAAAGTCGTTGCCTAAGAGGTGACTTGTCACATCGATTGGGGTGTGGTCCACACAGTTAAATGGGGTGGGGACCTCGAGGGGAGGGCACAATGTCGGCGGAGGCTCAGTAGTGGACTGGAGCACCAGTACTTGGGGCGGTTGTCTGCAGTGGGCCCCCGTGGCAGGGGCTGGCCAGGGTGGTGGGGGGTTGACCTCGTGGGAGTTGGGAGGTGCCCTGAACGCCTGGAGGCTGGCGGGCTGGCGGGAGATGGCCGCCTCCGTCTGGGCGGGGGTCTGTGGCCTGAGCTGGAGAGCAGGGCGGCAACGCTCGTGCCAGAGGCAGGGCCAACCTCCGGGCACAGGCTGACGGCGTCCCAGCACTGGGGGCTCCTGCTGCTCCCCACTCCTGGGCCTTTGCACGGGCTGCGTCCTGCCAGAAGCGCCCTTTCCACCTGAAATACCTGCCTGTGAGGACCTCCTCCTCCCTCCCCAGGTAGGAAGCTGAGGCCCGCTCGGGCAGTGACGGGGCGTCCAGCTCCTTGCCAGGGCAGATGTGGCAGGGGAAGGAGGGGCCTGGGCTCTGGCCCCTGTACCACTGCTCAGTGTCTGCACCTCAGGCTGCATGTTTCCAAACGGGCTCACAAGCCTGCCCTGAACGCCCCTGGGCCATGCAAATAGTAGGGAAGAGTTCGGGGAATCGTGCGGGTGGAGGCATCGAGGGCCGGAATCCTCGTGAATGAACAGGCGGGCAGTGACACTGGACATGTGGCTGGGGCAGAACGCTGGGCGGCTGTCAGCCTGCCCGGGACCCCAGGTGGCAGCTTAGCTTGGTTGCACCAGGGTCTCCGCGGCCCACTGAGCACCAACCGGGGTGGGGGTGGCACTTCCACTTCCCTGCATCAGTGGCTGTTCCTGGACGGGGAACACCTGGCAGAGCTGGGTGCCCATCGCCAGGGCCACCCCTGAGGCCACTTCTGGGAGGAGGAAAGGCTTCTGTCCCCTTTGACATCCCCGTGTGTCCCTGGGGAGGGCGAGAACCCTCTGCCCTGGGTCTGGATCCGATGTTGGGGCTTCCTTGGGGGCCCAGTTCCAGACCCCTTCTGCAACCCTGCCCCCCTCACATCCCAGGGCCTGCTATTCATCCCTTTGCACCCTGGGGACATGGGGACCCCCTCTTTAGTGGGTGTGGTCTCCACCACCCCAGGCGCAGGTGACAGCGGTCAGGCAGGGCGGCACAGGAACTGGGCAGTGCTCACGGGGTTCTCGCCCCTCCCCAGCAGCCACTGCCACAGAGGCACCGAGTCACAAACCACGGAGCACCTGGGGGCTCAGTACCCCTTTTGCTCTCCTGGATCTGCAGGTCTGCCGAGTGCGGTGCGGGCTCAATGGGGCTGCGTCACTTGTCTGGGGGACTGGCTGGGGACTGGCTGGAGTCCGGCCGGGGCGGGGGGAAGCCCTCCTGGTGGGGTTCAGTTGTGGCAGTTCAGCTCTGTGCTCAGCACCCCCCATCCCCTCCTGGGACCAGCAGTGAGCCCGGTGTGGTTTTCTCATAGTGATGGCGGGGGCACAGGGGACCAAGCGGGACACGGGCCTGGGCCCAGAACGGGCAGGCGGGCACTCCGTCTCACGCTCTTGGCCAGAGCAGGCCCTTCGGCCTTGGCAGGGATGCGGGAGAGCCCTGCAAAGTGTGTGGGCGCCCACTCAGGCTCTCCTGCGGGGCCGCCGGGTGCACTCGCTAACCCCCCACAGCTGCCTCTGTGGTTAGGGACTGTCCCATGCCCATCCCCATAGGCAGGAACTGAGTGCAGGGAGGTCCAGGGTCAAGGGCACACGGCTGGTTCGGGCAGAGGTCAGAGTGGCATCCAGGCTTGTCCGTCCCCAAAGCCAGAGCTGCCTCACCCTGTGCTTCCTTCCTGGGGAGTCGGTGGGAACCCCAAGGATGGAGGCGTGGAGCCTCTCTGTGGCTGGGACGGAGGCTGCCCCCCAAGCTGTGGGGCCAGTGCAAGGCCTTCAGAGGGTCCGTGCTGAGGCTGAGACCGTGGTTCCAGTCCTGGGTCCAGGAGACGGGACCCGGATGTGTGAGCCGTGCAAGGAGGGGGAGGAAGGAGGGGGTAGGGACATGCGGGCTGAGACCCAGAACAGCTCAGGGGTCCCCACTCTGTGACTCGGGTATTCAGGGGACCTCTAGACCCATGCTCAATGTTTTGCGCACTTCCCACCCCCAATTACAAGCGAGGGACAAGTGTCCCCATGCAGCCTACTGGCCGAAACCACAGTTTTGGAACGAGCTGCTGAAGACGAGCCACGGTAAACGTGGGGGGAAGAAGCAGCCCCTTAGCTCCGACCCCAGGTGTGGACGTGGTTGGCGGGTATTGGAAACCTCAGCTGCAGGGACATGGGACAGAAGTGCTGAGCTCGTCAGACGTCGAAGGGGCGGGACACCGAGGAACTGTCACCCTGGCAGAGCGGCCTGGGGAAGTCGGGCTGGTCCTGCTCAGGCCTTCCTTGCTGACAGTGTTCGCGAGAGACGGCTGTTCGGTGCGGCGGTGGGAGACCGATTGTCTGCGCTGCAGACATCACAGCACAGAGCCAGGAGACGTTCGCTTCCACCCACGTTCAGTTATGTGTCTGCTGAGGACGAGCGCCTCCCCCACCCCGCCCCCATCGTGACCTCCCCTCAGCTCAGCGGAGCTCAGCATTTTTACCTTGGTCATCTCCCACGGTGCGAGGAGGGAAAGTGATGCTTTGGGCAGAGTGTGGTGAGATGCTTCTGGGGCCCAGAGCCCGGGGCAGCTCCGCCTGCTTCAGGCTGCGCACCGTTGGAGTGACAGACCGAGTGACAGACAGCACTGCGTGTGGCCCTTCTGGGGTGGCGCTAACACTGATGCTGGGACCACCAGCTTCGGGGCAGGAGCAGGTCGGCTGTGCCCAAGGCAAGGCCAGTGCAGAGTCGACGCTCTACCCGCACTTTGGAAATAAGTGAGGGAACCAAGTGTCTCCCAGACAGAGGTCTCCTGAGGGGCCGTGACAGATGGACACAATGGTGAAACAAGTCAGGAGAGAACACGCATCGTCTTGAAGGTTCCTGATCCACCGTAACGTGTCCGAGGCTCTGGGAAGGCCCGAGGAGGGTACTTCACGCTGCTCTGCTCACACCAGCGTCCCCCCGACAGTCCAGGCACAGACGCTTGCCCGGCTCCTGCCGGCAGAGGCAGGGCTGTGAGGCCGGAGAGCTCGGTGGCTCCTTCTGGCTCCGACCACCTGACTTCCGTGCGTTCTGTGAAGAGGGTTTGTGAGGATGTGGACAAGAGCACTGCAACCCTCATTTTCCAGAATCTTCCCATCTGGGGAGAAGACTCGGGGACACAGATACAGCATGGGGTGGGAGTGCAGCTCGGATCTGTTCACTCGGAGATGCCCTTCCTCCCCAGAGGTGTGGCCACCCCTGCTTGGGACCCTGTGGTAGCTTTTGTTTCTTCTCCTTGACCGACTATAAAGGGGACAGCCCTGCGGGGCCAGGCCCCTGCCCCCCCCCCCCGCACCCTCTTCCATCCTGGACCAACCCCGGCTCAGCTGCTCTGTCCATCTGATGCTCCAACACCAACTGTCCCCAGTGGAGAAGGACCTGCTCACCGTACCTTCCAGATCCCAAGGAAGGGCCCCCTCCTGGCACCGTGAAGCCCTGCCCTGAGCCAGCTGCCAGGAGGACACCAGCCCTGTGCCCCAGGACACAGCGGGAGCCCTGGGGGCGGGAAGAAGACACTCCCTGGACTCTGCCCGGTGCCCCCGGCCCGGGACTGTGAGCCACGCCCTCATCTCCCTGGGGTTTGTCTTTTCCCAGCAGCTTTGAGTGCTCCTGCCCATCCCACCCCCGGCCCCTGAAGGAGCCCCCACCCAGGGATGTGCGGGGCAGCCTTAGTCCAGGCGAGGCCCCCGCTGTGCCTTCCTCTCCCCACCTTCAGATCCTGTGCTGTGCCTTCCAGTCCTTCTGTTGAAGACCCAGCTGGCAGCCCTGGAGCGGCAGGCCGCCAGCTCCAGGCTGGGTCCACAGACCCAGCTGGAAGGTGGGCCGTTTCCCGGGAACAGGTGGGGGGACCGAGGCCCAGCCAAGGTGTGGGCTCTGACTGACCTGTAACTTTCCACCTGGTGGGGGCCGATGCATGGAGGTCCCACCCAGATCTCAAGACCCGCCCCCCCCCCTCCGACCTACCAGGTGACTGGATGCGGCCTGGGCGGGGCTAGACCCTGCATGGGCCTGCCAGCTCCGTCTTCCACGCTGCCACCTGGGCCTCCAGGCGCCTGGCTAGGTTGCCATGGGAACTGCCTGGCATGTTGGATGCGGGCTGTGGGGCTGGGGTGGCTGGCCACCTGTCTGGGATGTCCAGCCCCCACAGTGGACCTTTGGGTGGCTGAGACCATCAAAAGAAGGACCTGCTCGAGGTCCCAGTGAGTCAGGGGCGTGGCCAGCTCTAGGCCTCGCTGTCCCACTCCCCCACCCTCTCTTCCTACCTCTCTGGGCTGCTGCCCCGCCCGTCTGGCAACATCTGAGGGTGGGCTCCCTTTGGCTGTGTCCGAGGCCCAAGGGAGAGACTAGATTTGTCAAGGGGGGTGACCACCCCCAAAGAGCGTCTGCTCTGAGCCCAGGATGACAGGGCTCCCCACCCTGTGTCCTGTATGGAGGTATGGGGGTGGCGGCGGTGACCCTGCCCTGCAGGGGAGCAGGGGAGGCCCGGGGTGAGCAGCTCGTTCAAGGTCACCCAGTGACCGAGCTGGACTGAGGGCCCAGTGCCCTGGGCAGGGGCAGTCTCGCCAGCCCCACCCTGCTTTGCACAGGCATCTGGGTGACACGGACCTACTTCCAGTACTTTCTGTCTCGTCAGTGCGGATTAGCCCTTTGGCCACGAGGAGCCTCGGTTTCCTCATCTATGCTTTGCCCGTGAAACTGAGCTGGTTCTGAGGGGACCTGTCACCACGGTGTCAGGGGTGACCTCAGAAGAGGTTAGGGCGAACCCATGCTGCTACCCCCGGCCAAGTCCCCTCCCCTGGTGGACTTACCTCCAGGCACCACCTCCACCAGGAAGCCTTCCCTGATGCCCAGGCCAGGTGCCCTCCTTGGTGACAGCATTCCTGCCAGTGGCGGTCTCCCTGATGTGTGACAAATGTCATGGGTGAGGGGCGGGCCTGCCCCTGGGGTGGCCTCTTTTTGACAACATCGGATGGGGTCTTGTCATTACAGGTGCACAACGTCACCCTGGCCCTGGAGCTGCTGAAGAGCGAAGGCCTGCTCGACTGCCCTGTCAGTGCCGAAGGTGCGCGCGCGGGCCCTGGCCCGGGGCGGGGTGCGGAGTGGGGTGCGCGGAGTGGGGTGCATAACGAGCATTCACTGAGGCTTCCTGGGGTGGCTCCCCCACACCTAGTGGAGGGAGGAACTCCGCGGAGAGAGGATAGGGACTGGGTCCCCAGGGGTGGGCCGTCCAGAGAGGCGAGACCTTGAGGAGTTCCACACTGCACGTTGGGGCAGGGGAGGACTGGGCGGGGGGCGGAGGCAGGGCCAGGTGGTGGTCCCGGCACCAGGCCGAGCACGACCGACTGCCTGGTTTGCCTGGAGTTAGCACGGAAGCCCCTGGGCCCCGGGCAGAGTGGGCCGGCCGGTCGGTCCCTCCCCTGCCCAGGCCTGACAGGCCACCCTGCGCTCCCGCCCCCAGCCATCGTCAACAAGGACTCCAAGAGCACGCTGCGGGTCCTCTACAGCCTGTTTCTCAAGCACAAGGTGAAAGAAAGCACGGACAGGATGCCGAGTGGACCCCCAAGTTAACCAGCTGCCCCCAGAAGCTGCTTCTCTGCCCGGCTGGAGCCCCCCACCCCCATCTCCTGTTTCCATCCTTCCGACGATCAAACCCACCAGGCGTGGGTCCATTTTGAGCCAACCTCTGGCCTGGCTTGGTTTATTTTACCAAATGTATTTCTGGGAGGGACTTGGGAGCCGGCCAGGGTCCTGGGAAGGGCCATTATTTGTGCATAAACATTAGCTGACCCTGCTCCCAGCCTCGCTCCCCGTGGGCTGGGTGTGGAAGGTGCGGCCCCTCCGGGGCAACCAGAGCCCCGCCATGGGACCTTCCCTTGGGTTTGAGGGTCTGCTCTGAGGGCAGAAGGGGCTCTCAGGTATCAGGGCTGGTAGCCAGAGGCCCCGGCCTGCCTACACTCAGCTGCTGCCACCTGGGGCGACAGCGCCCAGATCACCATCCAGTGGCTGTGTTACAGGAAAATGAAGCAACCAGACACCGAGGGATTCTGGAGTACGAGGTTTATTGTTTAACGTGCACGGGCTCAGAGGAGTCATTTCCAAATTCTGAGCCCCGAACAAAGGATTCTTGGGGAATACATAGATTAGGGGTCTTCCTGTCTACGTGACAAACGTGGGATACAGAAGCAGAATGTGACAATTGTTCTATCAGCAGGGGTGCTAGTCCCAGCCCTACTGACGATCCGGCCACCCGCCCTCCCAGACGGCCCCATCATTCTCTCTAGGGCGCCTGGGGCCTGGGCAAATAAAGGTTAAACAGAGGTTTTTCAAAGTGTCCCATATCAGCTGGAGCCCCGTATGTCTCCAAACCCCTGCTCCCGAGCCATGCAGGGAGGGTAACTCAGTTCCTTGCTGGAAGAACCGTGGCCCAGGCCCACCCCTGTGGCTAAAATCGTGAGCTATGCTCAAGTCACAAAGAAGAAATCTTTGTTGTCGATCAGTGCCCTGTCCCCAGGGACAGGTGTCCAGTGCTGTGGGTCCTCCTGGCATCGCTGGCTTTGTCACCTTCTCGATGGTCATGTTCTGGCCTCCACCCCACCCCACCCTCTCCAAGCTGAAAGCCATGTGCTCTTTCCAGGGCTTTCGTATGCTGTCAGCCAGCCTGAGATGCCCCTGTCCCACTCCTACCCCCAGGAGCTCGTCACTCACAGGAGGGGCCAGCCACCATTGAGCCTTGAGGAGCCAGTGGAGGAGGGAGGGACCCTGGGACAGCAGACGCCTGGGGGTCCCCGTGCTTGGGGACAGGGAGGCCTTCCTGCCTTGGCCTCAGGGCACCACCCTGGCTCTCCCCATCTCCCTTCTCCTTCCTGAGAAATCTGAGTCCAGCTGAAGTTGCCTCTAAAGCTGGAAGCAGGATATTTCTACTGGCTGGGGCTGGAAGGCAGCCAGGGCCGGGAAGGAGCTGGCAGGCTCGGCTGGGTGTGCAAACAGCTTCGGAGCGCCGGGAAATGCCTCGAAGGCGGGCGTGCCTCCGAGTTGAGCCTCTTCCCAAAATAATCCAGGGGGCAGCTGTCTCGGATTCCGAAACTGGGTCTGGCTGCCTGAGCGGTGGGAAGTCCCAGGCCCCACACCAGCTCTGCTCTGGGAACAGATGGCCTGATGAATATTTTTTCCTTTTACCAAAGTCAGCTGGTAGGCGGACAGCTTGCCCAGAGAGAAGTGTGTTCCTCCCCCTCTCTGTGGTAACCGAGTGAAGTTGCCCCCTCCCCTCCCCCGGCCCTGCCCCCACGCTTCTTTTCTTGTGAGCTGGGGCAGCCTTTCTCACTTCAGAGCTCCCAGGGTCCTCCCCCACCCTCAGGTTTGTTCCAGGGGGTATGCAGCCCCTGGGTTCCTGGGGGCCTGGACTAAGCTAGGGCAGCAGCCTCCCAGAGGCCTGGGCGGTAGCAAAAGGAACGCACAGGTGCCCCAGGAATGCTTCTCCTACAAGGAGCGGCCAAGTGACCTGGGTGAGCCAACAATTGTGTGAATTCATTCATCTACGAGCGGTTCAAATCAGTTGATACGCTTATTGCCTAAAAAGGCATCAGTGCACGGGTGGGGCTTTCACACTGCACAGACCCTGTGGACAGGCCCTTCCTCACAGACCTTCCCTGATGCCCACTGCGTGCAGCCCCGGGTTTGGGGCCGAGAACACAGAGGCGGCTCAGGTGCAGCCTGTTGCTGGCGGGGCCCACGGGCGGCTCAGGTGCAGCCTGTTGCTGGCGGGGCGCACGGGCGGCTCAGGTGCAGCCTGTTGCTGGCGGGGCCCACGGGCGGCTCAGGTGCAGCCTGTTGCTGGCGGGACGCACGGGCGGCTCAGGTGCAGCCTGTTGCTGGCGGGGCCCACGGGCGGCTCAGGTGCAGCCTGTTGCTGGCGGGGCCCACGGGCGGCTCAGGTGCAGCCTGTTGCTGGCGGGGCCCACGGGCGGCTCAGGTGCAGCTCGTTGCTGGAGGAGCCCATGGGTGGAGTGCAGTGCTTGAGCGTGAACCTGGGGAGTGAGTCCTGGGTGCATCCTCTACTCACTGCCGTGACCCTGGATCAGTCGCTTCCCTCCCTGAGCCTCAGTTCCCTTCTCTATCAAAGGGAAGCAATGGGAATCTACTCTCTGGGGGGTTGTTATGAAAGCCAAGAAAGAGAATCCACCTAAAAGCTTGAAACATTGCTGGGCACGTTGAGTTCAATAATGTCAGGTGACATCGCCACCATCATCATCACCACCATCCCCATCATTCTGATCTAACTTTCCGAACCATCCAACAATGGGATTAACCCTTACTAGTGGTGAGCTCCCCATCATTAGTGGTATGCAAGCAGTAGTTGGATGAGCCCTTGTCAGGGTGCATGGGAGGAACAAAAGCAGGAGGTAGAACTCCAGCTTCGGACACCCTCAGCTGCCCTCCGAGGGCTTGGACCTTCTGGCGCTCCTCTCCCCGTCCCGCCGCCATCTCTCTGTGAGATGCTGGGTGATGTCCCCCCGCCTCCCACCTCCGGGCCCCAGTGTCTCCGTACTTCTAGAAAACCAGAGGTGACAACATCTATGTGGCTGAACCCCCCCAAAGAGAAGGCTGCAAAAGGAAAGACCAATATTTATTCTCTGTCACATTCAGAAATTAGACTGGGGAGCCACGGATAGACGTTCCGAACAGGAGCCGTCTGGCCCTGCCTCGGGCTCGGCTGCAGATTCCTCGTGGAGTAAGTCTTGCTGCCTCCCCCACCGGGGCTTGGCTTGAGTATTTGCCAGCTACTTGGGTTTTTTTTTCTGAGGCAATTAATACAAAGGGGGCGTCAGGCCAGTCAGGATGTTCTTTTTTTTAAAAAAAGATTTTATTTAATTTTTCGAGAGAGGGGAAGGGAGGGAGAAAGAGAGGGAGAGAAACATCAATGAATGGTTGCCTCTCATGCACCCTCTACTGGGGACCGGGCCCACAACTCAGGCATGTGCCCTGACTGGGAATTGAACCAGCGACCTTTCAGTTCATCCTCAATCCACCGAGGTACAACCAGCCAGGGAAGGATAGTCTTTTTTAAAGGGATGCACCCTGCTCTGGAGAAGTACCCATCTGAGCGTCCAGCTGCTGTGCGCTCCAGGGGCTCACCCTCCTTTTGGAGTTGGGGGTGCAGGGCAGAGGCAGGGAAAGTTGGGTGAGGGTGCGGTGCCCTCCGGCTAGAAAGGCCCATCGAAGCCGAGGCTGCTTGGGCCAGGGCACCTCCGTTTGGGCCCTCGCAGTGTGTCTGGCCCTGCCCCTCAGGGCCCGCTCCGGGAAGGTGCTCGCCCACCTCCCGCCAGCAGCTCTTCCCCCAGCGTCCAGGCAGCCAGCTGGCTCTCCCAGCTGCATAAAAATCTCTGTTTCTGCTTCCTCTGCCCTCCTGCCCTGTCTCCTCTCTCCTCCCGACATGAAAGCTCCATGAAAGGATACCACTCCTCCCCATCTTTTTTGACTTCTCCCCACCTCCCCAGGCAAGCTCTTTGTCCCGTGGGTTCCCTAAAGCCGCTCTGAGTGAGGTCCTGGCCCCCAGTCCAAAGTCCATAGTCCTTGGCCAGACCTCATGTACTGGCCTGGAAGACAGGCAGCAGCGCCCGACAGGCTGAGTGCCCGGCTGCCCTCCCCTGCTCCTGCTCCCAGGGACCCCACATGTGTCTGCCGGTGCCTCCCCACTCGCTTGCTGGTTCTCTGGTCTCCTTGGCCTTGAACACGTTGGAGCTCCCAGAACTCCACCCTTGGACTGTGTGCATTCCCTTATACTAACCCCTCGCACCCTCAGTGATCCTGCTCGAAGTTTTAACCGTTGCTGAGATGCCAGTGATGTCCACATAATAACTGGAGCCTGGGCTCCGCTCTGACCTCCAGCCAGGTTCCCACCTGCCTCCGTGATACTTCCACCGGATGTCACAGCCGCGGCCTCTGAAGCTCAGCCTGTCCACCCCCACCTCCCACCACCTCCCCGCCAACCCATGTCTGCTGACCCTGGCGGTAGCCCTGGGCCACTTGCTCAGGCCCGGCGCCTCGCACCCACCCGAGCTTCCTCTCTCTCATACCCAACCCCCTCTGATCTGTCAGGAAATTGTGCTGGCTCTACCTCCAAAAACCTTCTGACTCCAGTCCTGGCTGGTGTGGCTCAGTGGACTGAGCGCCGGCCTGCAAAGCAAAAGGGTCGCAGGTTCCATTCCCATTTAGGGCATATACCTGGGTTGCCAGCAAGGTCCCCAGTAGGTGGCGCACGAGAGGCAAAAAATTGATGGATTGATGTATTTCCTTCCCTTCCCCTCTCTCCAAAAATAAACAAATAAATCTTAAAACTTACGAATCCAGAATCTGACTGCTTTTCTCCAACCCACTGCTTCTGTCTGGGTACATACAAGCCGCCTCCACCCTTGCCCTACTGTGTGCTCTCAGTCCAGTTGGATGGAGAACACTAAACCGGAAAATACTAAAAACACTTGAAAACACTAAACCCTTGAAAACACTAAACCAGAGCATGTGACTCCTCCCTGCAAATCCTTGCAAAGACTCCCACGTTTCACCCAAAGAACCAGCCAAGGTCCTGATAGAAGCCTACACGGTCCTGACAGGGCCCTACGGGCTCCTGACAAAGGCCTACCGGGTCCTGACAGGGGTCTGCAAGGCCCGTTTAATCTGAGTCCTGTACCTGGTAGCATCACTTCCTCTGCCCGCTCCCTCGCTCCCTCAGTCGCCATGCTGTGAGGAAGCCCAAGCAACCACGCAGAGAGGCCCCGGGGAGAACCGAGGTCCCCACCCAACAGCTGCCGCTGAGCTTCCAGCCGTCGCCCCTGTCAACAGCCAGCCATGTGAGGCAGGCCATGCTGAACCCTGCGGCCATCCAGCACCCCAGCCCCACGCCCGTGAAGTGCAGAACCCACATGCTCACCCCACAGAATTGTCCCAGCAAATGGCTGTGGGTGTTTTCAGCTGCTATGTTCAGGGTGCTTTGTTATACAACAATAAATAACCTCGACACCCGTCCAGCTGACGACTGGGTTTTGAAACGTGTTTTAATGACGTGAAGACACACACGTGTTTATCACGGATAGCATACTGCCCGTGTGTAGCGTGGGCAGGGTTTGCCCTGCAGGCATCTTTGTGTCCTGTTTTGCTTCGCTCCCTTTCCCCCACCCCCCACTCGAGCACCCTAGGTCCCCAGGTCACACTGCCTTACTGTCCTGCCCGTGTGCGTAGATGTGCAGACACACACACAGAAGTTCTGTGTGGGGCCTTAGGTCACAAACAAGCACCTGATCCCATCTTCTCGTGTCTGCACTGTGCAGTTCTGATTTGACAGCCCCTCCAAAATCTCTGGTAGACCCTCAATTCGTTCCCTTGAATAGTTGCATAGATTTCCAAGGCGTGGTCTTTCCATGCTAGCCAGACACGCTCAGGGGCGCACTGGAGGTGACGCATGCGGGCTCCTCACACAGCCTCTGGCTAATTTTGCGAGCCAGTCATTGCATGCAGCTGGTAAAAAATTACATTCTATACGCTTATAATGAAATGTGTTAGAAACAGGGGTGACGAACCCTCCCACGCGCTGTGGAACAGTGTGCCTCTGTGCAGGCACGCCCCGGACCGTGTCCAGGGGGCCGTGGTGGCAGCGCACACACCGTGGACCTGGACACACGCGACAAGCCAGGGCCTGACTTTGGGCCGCGTTGGCTGTCTAGACTTAAGACACGGTAGCTTCGATAAACGCAAATGCGACTTAAAACCGTGTCTCGTCTGTAGCGATGGCATTGGGAATAGCGCACAAGATTATGCTGCCCGGACTTCAAAACTGTTACCCGGTCCCGCAAAGAAGAGTGTCCTGCCGCCGGGGTGGACTGGCTTTCCGCCGCGTCTTCCGGTGTCGCTTCCGCCTGCCGCTCGGAGGAGGATGACACTGCGCACGCAAGGGCATCCGCGACAGCCCGGCACTTACTCATTGGCTGATTGCGATAGACCTTCTCGGACAATCAGTTGACTACATAAAACTTACACTAAAGAGTATTACATACCATATTATTATTATTTGTACACTTTGGGCCCCACATCCTTTATGCCAACGCGTTTGATGATAAATACAGGGGTGGACACGCACGTACAGGTTTGCTTCCGGAGAGCTGTGTGCTCAGCGCTCTCCGCCCGGTCCCTGCTGCTCAGCATCACCGTTTCCATGCCAACACGGGATTCCATCCCCTGCCATCCACGCTGGGTCGTCGAAGGCTGCATGTATTTTCAATTTTAATAGATATTTTCAGATTGCTTTCCACAAAGGTTAAAATAATTCTCATTTCCCACGGCAGTGCATGCGTGCGAGTACCCTTTTCTCACCCAGCTGCGAATGACAGATTTATAGATTTGCTTTTTGCCAGTCTGATGGGTGTAAGGTGGCACCTCGTTATTTTTACTTCGCTCCCTTCTGCACTGGAGCGTTTGAAAGTCTTTTCAGCATTTGTGGGCATTGAGGTTCATTCTCTGAATTGCCTCTTGATGTCCCTTCTCCTGAGCTCGGGTTGTATATTCCTCTTCTGTCGGTTTGCTCACACTCCCTGCTGATTAAACATAAGCCTTGTATGTGTTCTCTGCGTTTAAACCTCTCACTCGTGTTTGTGTGATCTTTTGTCATACAAAAACTAATTGTAATATTGACAAATTTCACCATTTCTTCCTGAGCTCCTGGGTGTCTGGTCTTGGTTAAGAATGTTCTCCACACTGACAGAGTTCTTGTAGTCCTTTAAAACTTCTGGCTGAATTTTTATTGTTTTATTTGGGTCTTTAATATCAAGCTTATTTTCACTTATGGCTAAAATAGGGATTCAGTTTTATTTGCTCCTGTATGGGCAGCCAGTCATGCCAACATCATTTGTAAATACTTGGGAAACAATCATACTAATTATGTATTAATGAGCAATTCCCCACTGTACTGAAACACTACTTTTCTTATATTAAATTATCACATATACTCACATATATCTCTGTAGTCTGATTAGTGTGTCTCTCTTTTTTTTAGGATTTTATTTATTTGTTTTTAGAGAGAGGGGGAGGGAGGGAGAAAGAGAGAGAGAGAGAGAGAGAAACATCAATGTGTGTTGGCCACTAGAGAGCCCCCCACCAGGGACCTGGCCAGCAATCCAGGCATGTGCCCCGACTGGGAATTGAACTGGCGATCCTGTGGTTTGCAGGCTTGTGCTCAATCCACGGAGCCACACCAGCCAGGGCTGATTAGTGTGTCTCTTCTTATGCCAACAGCATGTTGATTTGATCATAGAGTGTTTAGACTGTGTTCTCCTTTGGGGATTTTAGGAAGACAACATACAACACTTTCTGGGGCGAGGTGCTAAGAGAACCTCCCTTCTCTCTCTACTTCTGTTTAGTGGCGTTTACCAAGGGGAAGCTCTGCGTGGAATGTTGCGGAGACAGCAGGTGAGAGCAGCTGGCTTCTTGAGTCCCTTTATGGAGGGGACTTCTCTAAGGCACTGCTTGGTGATGCCTACTTCTGTAGCTGCTTTTAAGTTTTCTCTTTGTCTTTTGCGTCTCGAAGGGGCACTACTTGCTTGAAGTGGCCCCGCTCCAACGCCGAAAGATTACATCGTGTCTAATTCTATTGACAGAATGTTCTTGAAATGACGCAGTGACAGAATGGAGGACAGATTGCTGACTGCTGGTGGTGGGGGATGGGGCCGGAGGGAAGTGGGTGTAGCCATAAGGTAACATGAGGGATCCCTGGGGTGAGGCAGAGGTTAAGAAGCAAAGATTCTCGAATCTGTGACTTTATGTCTTTAATCATTTGTAAAAATTTTCCAGCCTTTTAGCTCTTCAAGTAGTCTCTTCTTCTTTCTCCTTCACACCTTGTTGGCACCACAACTTCCTGCAAGTCACACGTTTCCCACGATCTAGTGCTTTCCGTCCTTCTGGCTCCACGGTCATCATCTGGGTATTGCCTTTCTACACATGTTCAGGTTCATTCATTCTTTCTTCAGTTGTGTCTAACCTGCTTTTCCAAATTGAACCCTTTCCTTCCTAGATAACTGTGTATTCCCACGCAGTTGTAAGAAGCAGTGCAAAGAGACCCCCTCACCCAGTTTTCCCCAATGGTGACATCTTGCACAAACTGTAGGAACATGTCACATCTGCAGTGTTACCGTTGGTACGCAGATAGGTAACATTTCCATCACCATCAGGATTCCTCCTCTGCCCCTACTTATAGCTGCGCCCACTGGCCTCCTGCCCATCACCACCTCAGTCCCTGATGGTCACCAATCTGTCCCCCATTTCTATAATGGTGCTATTTCAAGGACATTCTGTGCATGGAATCATGCAGTGTGTGACCTCTGGGGACTGGCCCTGTTCATGCAGTGGGATTCTCTGGAGCTTCAAGCAGACGGTTGCGCAGGTCACTGAGCGACGCCTTCTGTTTCATCGCTGAGTGGTACCCCCGAGGGTGTGCGCAGTCTGTTCAGCCGTCCACGGCTGAAGGGCATTTGCATGTTTTCCAGTTTGGGGGTACAGGTTTTTGTGTGAATATAAGTTTTACAGGGGCACAAGAAGACCCCCCCGGGATCAAAGAAATCTCCATTTGCCCCCCAAGAACATGTGCACAGCAGCAAAGCTGTGTCAGCAGTCTGCCCAAAACTCGCCCTTTCTCTGGTTGTTTTTCTGTCTCCCGCCCTGAGGCCGACTGGGCTGAGGAGGACGAGGACATGTCGAGAGTCCTGCCCGGCCCACTAAGCCGTCACACGCAACTCAAGCCAGTCGGGGAGGGAGGAAGAGCTCTGACCAGCGTCTGATACTGAAACTGAGCCGATTCGGGCCTGGCCCCTTTGCTACGGCTCTGACCAGACTGTTAATGAGGCGGGGACCTGGGTGGGGCGGGGGGTCCAGTGTGGCCCTGGGGGTCACACTGGCTATTGGAGGCACAAACCCCCCCTTTGTCCAATAAACATGTCTGTCCCTCTCTCGGAGCTGAGGGCTGCTCCCTCTCCACGAGCTCCCCCGCTGGCATTGGCACGCAGTCACCTTCAGAGCCGGGTACCGAGCTGCGCCTGCCCGGGAAGAGCTGCTGTCCCACAGCACCAGCCCGGGGCACAAGGGTGACGTGAGGTCACAAAGTATCAGTGGCCACCTCCCAGCACCTTCCAGCCTCACCTGCCACCTCCCCTTCATGGCTCTGTCTCCCCGCCGACTTGGCTCTTGCCCCTTGTGGGGGGTGGACCTAAGGGGTGAACGCTGGACCCCCAAGGTCTTCAGGGTGGTCTTGTGCGACCAGCTGCCCTGATACCACCTGAGAGAGCTCCTTGGCCAAGACCCCTTGTCCTCCACCCTCCTTTGGACAGAGCGCAACCAGGGACAGGAGTGCAGGGTCCCGTGAGGGCATCCTGGAACAAGAAAGCCAATTTCAATACAGGGCACCGTGGACATGACACTCCTTTATTAAAACCTAAGGACATCTTTATAAAAACTACTGTATATAAAGACAAAAGCAGTGCAACAGCGGTCAGTGTAAAACACATCATTATTAATACATTATATTATTATTATTGATAGTAGGAACGTTACTGGTTTTTGGTTATCCACTCTCAGAGAGGCCCCACGCCGGTCCCCACGACGTCGGGGTTAACAGGAAAGAGAAGACGCTTCTGTCCCACCCGTAGCTGCGCACCCTGGCCCCGCCGACCCACTGGGGGGCCCTGCCTTGTTAGGTGACTGAGCCCCACCCTCAGCGTGCGCGTCGCCCAGCCTCTGGCGGTTCGGGTGGTGGGCTGTGACGCATCCCGCCAGCTTTGACACAGAAGACGGGGGAAAAGACAGGACACGACCGCCCGGGAGAAACCAGGGCGAGGTTTCTAGACAGGTTCTCTCGCGAACCAGTTCGGTGGCCAAGCCGCCTGTCACTTTCCACCAGGTGCATGGGTGAGCCTTCCTAGGGCTCATCTGCCTTCGACGGGATCCTGTCATTTTTGGGGGGTGGTCGAGGGCCATTCAACAGGGCCCCTCATCGCACAAGCCCCGGAGCCTCCATTCACAGCCACATCCAGGGAACGGCGCCCTGAGAGCCTGCGACCATTCACGTGACGGCGCTGCGAACAGTGCCCCCGGACGTGGGCACCGCAGCAGCCCTGCATTTCGGTCCGTCAAGGGCAAACAGGTCAGGGCTTTGGCATGAAGGTAGGAGTTTTGGGTCTAGTGGGACTAATGGTTGCAGCTATTCACTCACCAAGCATCTGTCTAGCACCAGCTGTCTGGCAGGGTCTTGGACTAGAAACTTGGGGTGGGGGGACCACACCACCTCCAAGGTCACTTTCGTGGTCGGGAGAGGCACCTGCTCCCTTGTCTGCTTCGTGAGTCCGAGCACTGCTGTTAGGCACAACCAGCCACTGCAGCATGACCCCAGCCCCCCCCTCGGACACAGCATGTTTTCCATCACCAGCAGGCGCTACTCCCAGATGGGTCCCGGGCTCGGAGCCGGGAGAGCCCCCGCCAGGTAGACGGATGAACGCGTGGGCACACAAATGGGTTTTGTGGGACCTTCTGCCTCACCTGACTGCCCAACCTCAACGTGTAAGTGTTTCAGGCACCAGCCCCAAAGCTGCATCCGTTCACTCAACTACCGTGTGGCACTGCGTCTGCGTGACAAGGGGGCTGGGAAATGTGTTCCAGGGCTGCAGATGGCAGGTACCACAGTGTCAGGCACTCGCGGGGTGGCTGGCCGCCCCTCTGACCTTCCGGACGGTCTGTGGGGGCCAGGTGGGCTGTAAGACCCAGAATCTCCCAGTCACCTCTACTCGTCTGGGCCGATCGGCACGGCTGATGTGGGAGGGGTCCCACAGAGCCGCCTCTCGGTGAGGGCCTGGCTGCGTCTCAGCATGGACAGGAAAGGGCCCCGTGACCCCGCCAGCTCTCCCAGGAGGTCTCCGCCCATCCACTCGAGAGGCCGCCGAGGGCGTGCTGCTCTCTGTTGGTGGAGCACCGATCAGCCAAGTTGAAAACAAAATAAACCAATGACGGTGTTTTAAAAGCCCGTGACCCTGGGAAGCTTGTCTTACAGCACAGCCTCTTGTAGACACAGTGAACAGGGTGTCTGCTGGGCCAGGGAACCAGGCCAGGGCAGGGGCAGCGGGCTGGACAGGCAGTGAAGGTCGGGATGCCTTCCTGGCACAGAGCGGGGTCTGCAGGCTCTGCTGGGGGTGCGGGGGACGGTCCTGGGCACAGCCACCCCCGACAGCCTCCTCGTCACTGAAATGAGCTAAGCGGATCTTTGGACTTGATGGTGAGCCGGGAAGTGTGTCTCAGCAGAAGTCTGTCACCTCCTTTTCTGGCCATGTATGGCCAGATACCCCGTCCCACAGTCCTCCTTTCCAGTCCTGGGGTGTGCACGCGCCTGAAGAGTTTTGCGAATGGTGAGGGGAGAGGCCACCCGCCCCAGCTGGCTGCCTACCTGTGTTTCTAAAGCAACAGGGACAGCGAGAGAGACGGGCTCTGCCTGCAGGATCACGTGGGCGCACGTGTGCGTGCGTGCACGTGTGCGTGCGTGTGTGCGTGCACAGGCACCCGTGTGCACGTGCGTGCGTGTTTTCAATTAAGGCCTGTTTCACATTGGTCCTGGCCAGCGTCAGATGTTCGCCTGAGCAGGCTGCTCCTGGAGACGTAGGGGCAGCCTCAGAGGTCAAGGCATGGGCCAGAGGCCCGTGGGGGCTGCCAGCCAGTGGTTCCCAACAGAGATTCCCAAACGCATCAGTCACACCCGGACGGAAGGAACTGCTCACTAACAACACAGAGATCCCCTGCGGGGGGTGTCCCTACACACTCAGGGGCGAGTCACACACGCTGGCACCCAACACCGGTGCCTTGGAGCCGTGTCGGCCTCACCCGGGGTTTTTTTTGTATTATTGTTGCTGTTATTCTGACAAGTGGCGTGATGATAGCCGGGAGTTCACAGTAAAAAGTAAACAGAGGCAGCTTGAAGACTCGGGTTTGGGAGTCACTACAAGTCACTAGCTCTAGAAGTCTCTACTGGAACCTGTCACTACTCCGCCTCTTATTCTCAGGGACACTATTCAGTTGGCATGTCTGCCGACCACAGGAGGATGGGGACAGGTTTGGTGGGGATGACCCAGGGTCCCGAGGGGTTTGGGGACCCACGTGCACTGTCCTTGACCCTCACCTCCCCCATCACCCCCAGCCTACAGGCAGGTGAGACACTGAGGCTCAGACAGGAAGTGACTTGCCCAAGGCCACCCAGCGGGACGGGGTGGGGCTGTGGCCCCGCCCACCTGCACCACCAGCTGCCCTGGATCTGGTTTGCATCCTGCAAGTTGTAGATCTCTGGGCTGTGGAGCAAGTGAATCCTGGCTCTAGCTGGTCCACGCGACAGTGACCTCCCGCTCCAGGCCTCGGGCAGGGAGGCAAGGCCACGAGCTCCTTTCTGGCAGAGAAAGGGCCCCAGAACCACAGAAAGCTGAACCCTCAGCCATCTAAGAGCCTGGTCTGACTCCTTCCTCTTACCAACTGGGAACCTGAGGGCAGAGAGGGTACAGGACTTGCCCAAGGTCACACTCCTCTTAATGCAGAGCCGATGTCAGCATCTGGGTCTTGTACCGCCCTGCCCCCTAAGCCACAGGGTTAGGTTCTGGTGACTTCCCAGGCTGCCCACATGGGAGGCAGGTATAGGCTGATCCAGCTGGGCCGAATGGCAACTGCTTCTCCACGAGGACAAGGCCTGGCGCGTGGCCTGGACGACTCGGGTCTGAGGTAAGGGCATCCATGCCCATCCCCCACTGAGACCCCACGCAAGGGGTCTCCCATGTTGCCTGGCCCAGGCCGTGCCCCTGGGCCACTGTCTGGAGGAGTCTGGGTCTTCCACAGCCTACCTGGGGGCCTTGGGCAAGCCATGCCACCCATCTGAGTCTCGGCCTCCTAGTCCGTAAAATGGAATCCCTTCTTTATGGGGCCGTTGAGAGAATGAAGAGCCAGGCTGTATGGAAAACACTTCACACCCTGGAAAGTTCCTTCTGCTTTATCAAGGGAGGGGGCCTGACTCACAGAGAACCACAGCGTCCGGGCTCTGCCCCCTCATTCCCTCCTGCACCCCCTCTGGGTCCCTGCCGCCCTGGGTTTCCTTGGATTTCCTGAACTCACTGAGCCTGCTGCTGCCCCAGGGCCTTTGCACTAGCTGTTTCCTCCAGCTGCAATGCTCTTTTAGTTGGCTCTTGCTTATCCTTCGGATCAGGGCACGTCACCTGCTGAGAAAGACCTGCCCAGATGGCCCAAGTGCAACAGAGCCCACACTCGCACGCTGTTCCTGGCTTATTGGCAGAGCACTCCCCACTATCCCCGTCTTCCTCACCCGCCACCTGTTCCTCTCGGGCCCCTCTCCCAGCTGGAAAACCAGCCCCTGAGCAGTAGTGGGGCCTGCCTGCCCACTGCTGCGTCTGTGTAAGCTGAGGGGACGCATACTGACCAAGCAGGGCCTGCCGCGCTCAGAGCTGGGGGCAACTTCGGTGTCACTGACACTAGTGGAGTGAGTGTGCACGCACTGGCAGGCAGATGCCCTTCCTTGTGTGCCCAGGGCGGGGGTGGGCAGGGGCCGTGGCCAGCTCCGTGGGTGAATGTTATGGGCATCCAGGTCTGTGTGAAAGTCCTACCTTGAAATGAAAGGGTTTCTAGAACCTTCCCCTCTGGATTTCCACACACAGCTGGTGGCCCCCTGGGGCAGGGATGAGGACTGCCTTGCTCTTCTCTGTCCCCACTGCCGTCCGGCATGGGGTCTGGCACATGGCAGGCCCTCCAGCAGAATGTGCTGTGTGATTGAGGACCAGAGCAGTGACAGTGGAAAACTTGGGGTGATGGCCTGTCCCCCTGGGAAGTGACCAGGAGGTGCCCTGGGACTGGGCTGGGGGTGCTCTGGGCTGGGAGCTTGGACTTGGGGGTTCCCACAGCCCTGACTGAGGGGCTGGGTGCCCTCCTTACCGTGTGACCCTCGACACCTCCCTTGCCCAGAGCCATTTCTGATGGGGGGTGATCACACCCCCTCATGGGTGGTGAGATGGGTGTGCACGGAGACACCCAACCTAGTGCCCACCCGTGGATGGTCAGAGACACACCCCTCATTGCCACCCCAGTGCGCCCCAGACTCAGCAGGGCTGGGCCCTGTGCTTACCAGCTCCACCTGGCTCACAGCTGCAGCAGAGAGCTGGCACCCAGGATGAGACCCCAGGGTGGCCTCCGTATCAGAGAACTTGGAGGGACCCAATAAAAACCAACCAACCAAACGAGCAAAGAGAACACCCAAATCACACATGTGCACACACACACACTCACATTCAAAACTCTGACACGCGCAGGCCCACGAGCCACTATTGGAGGGAACAGAGGTGAGGGAGCCCCGGATACGACGCACAGGCCGAGATTCTTCTGGCCTGAAGTGGCCAGAGCAGCTTTGTGTTGGTCGTCTTGAGTCCACCATGGCGTCACCTCTCAGAAGCCACCAGCCCAATATGGGACTATTGCTTGCGGACAGGTGGCTCAGAACTCCCTCCCCTGCCCCTCCGGGCTCCCACCCCTGAGTTTGCTCCTAATCGTAGAAGTCCGCGGAAGAGGGTTTGGGGCACAGGTGGTATTTCCTCCTCTGCCACCATGGCAGCCACCTCGGCTCTCCCTGGCATCTCTGTTGAAGTTGAACTTCTTGGAGGCTGCGCCAGGTGCTTCGGGTCTCACCTCCCCCATCCTGAGGCACGGCAAAAGGGTTTTCTGGGGAAGCAGAAGGAAAGAAAATATCACACGGTGTCTTCTCCTTGGGGATACACTGAGGACATTTCTCTCAGAACTCAGTGCCAGGAGAAGCTAGTGTTTCTCTAAGCCCCTGACTTGCCTTTGTCTTCTGGACATTGAGAATGGTTTGATTTTAAGACTGGAAGCAAGACAAGCAAGCCTGTTGACACTAGGCAGTTCCATCTACTAGTGCTAGCATGTCTGCCCCATGCAATAAGACAAGAAAAACGCATAGCATTTCAGGAAGGGAAGGGAAGATCCCAAATAACAATTATTTGCAGATAATACAGATAGAAAATCCAAGAGAATCAATAGGCTAATTATTAGAACAGAGAGAGCAGATATAAAGATGTAATTTTCAATCTCTGAGACATCAGATCAGCTCACAAAACCAACAGTGTTCATCTCTTTCAGCATGTCTTGGTTTTGGACAGCTTCAGTTAACACCTGTTGCACTGACATGATTTTTTAAAAATATTTTATTTATTTATTTTTAGAGAGAGAGGAAGGGAGGGAAAAAGAGAGGAGATAAACATCGATGTGCGAGAGATACATAGATGAGGTGCTTCTTGCATGCCCTCAACCAGGGACCTGGCCTGAAACCCAGGCATGTTTCCTGCCTGGGAATCAAACCAGCAACCTTTCAGTTCACAGGTCAGCACTCAATCCACTGAACCACACCAGCCAGGACTTTGACATGATTTTTAATATTGTTCCCCTTTTCACAAACTTTTCCAGTTTTGATGATAAACTTATGGTCACCCTTGCTATGACAAAGTAAAGATTATTAAGAGCAGATTCTGGTACTGTTCATCATTATCATACCAACCATTATGACTCTCGGGACCAGACCACTGGCTATGACCTCATCATGAAGAGCCATGGGGAAGAAAACGGGTGCTCCTGGCTCGGGGACGGAGCGTGGGCAGCTTCAACGGGCAGAGTCGAGTTGCTTCAGCCCTTTCTCCTCTCTGTCACCTCCAAACAAGGACAGTGAGGCGCAGAAACACAACTTCCACTGCAGCAGGCACCATGCGTTCCCTGTCCTGTACCCAACGGTAGGGCGGTCACCCAGTCACAGACACTCCCCTTCCCAGACTCCCTTGCAGGTAGGGGTGATCACATGACCCACAGCACTGCCATGAAAGTGTACTGGGAAGGGGACACGGATCTAGTGACAGCACAAGAATGAAGCCTCTCACTAACGCAGGGAGCGACCTGGTCCTGGAGGTGGCCTTGACCGTGCACCTCCCCACCAGGGCCACTAGGTCTCTGCTACTTGCACCTTATTAATGCTCTTAACGGAAAATCCATCTTCAACCAAGCAGCGCAGCGCAGATGGTCAGGGGCGTGGCGAGAGATCGGGGAGGGCCTGTGACTGAGCCAGCATGGGCCATCTTTCTGGAGCGAGTGACGCTTCTGGGGACTGAGTCAGGGCCTGACCGTGTCTTTGGAAACACGCACGGAATCGGGGCGGGAGACTCCGTGGAGCCTTTTCCGCTGCCCCGCAGAGCAAAGCCAGCTCCTGGTCCCCCATCACCTGCTTTGTCTCCACAGCACACCACATAGTTCACTTACTGGTCTGGTTCACCACTTACCGTCCCTCGCTCGCTACAAGAAGCCCAAGTGCTTGTGCGGTGTGTTTATTTTTGTGGCGCCAGGGTCTAGAACAGGAATTGACACACAGTGGGGGCTTCATAAAGATTTGTTACATGAACGAATGCGTGAGCCAAGAACCGAAAGCCCAGATGAACCCTTTTTAAGGACAAAGTCAACAAAAAATTTTTGAATGCAGTTTTGAATTATAGTTCCCGCGAGCCCCTCCTATATCAATCACTAGAGGGCGCACTTGGAGTCGATGGGGTCTCTGGGGCGAGCCCTCTGGCAGCGGGGGTCTCTCTGACCAGTGGGATGCGCCCAAAACAAGTCTGAGGACTTTGACTTTCGTAGGAAGGAATGAGAGAGGAAACAGAACTGGTACAAATAAAAATAAATGGGGAGGGGAGAAGCAGAGATAAAGCGCGCCTTACTCATTTGTAGGTGGAGGTTAGAGGTGTACGTAACAGCTGCAAAGGTAAGTGGAAGAAATAATAGTGTATCATCCACTGAAATCATTTGGAGAAAGAGACGGAAAGTAGAAGTACCGTATTTTGCCGTGTAGAATGCCTACCCCCACGTTTTTAGCCCAAACTTTCAGGAAAAAAAAACCTTTCATTTTAATTTTTAATTCAATTATTTACTTATTTATATTTAGAAATGAAACCGAGTATCGTATTGCAGGGTATTATTTTACACATGGATATCATTATTGCTTTCTAGAGTTACACTTTTAATGGATAAGCATAAACACAAAAATTAATAACATTAATATAGATATGAAATTAGTACTACCCTTCTATAGTGAGCACCCTTATTTTCCCTCAAAAATTTGGGTAAAAAGAGCGCATTATACACAGCAAAATATGGTATGTTAATTTGGACATTGTTCATAATAGGGAGAAAATAAACATAGTCTAAAGAAATAAATGATTAAGGGCATCACATCCTTATAGTATAATTACAAAGCAAACCACGGCATCAAAAACACAGCTTTCCAAATTGTCGGAAGGCACAGACACAAAAAATAAAACAAAACAGAGACATATGGTGAAACCCGACAACCCCCACAAAAGCTATAAAAGCAGAAAGCACATCATCGACGATAACGGCAGAACCAAGACCAACTGTATCTGCAGGATCTGCCAGCATCCGTGGGCCAGGCGCGCTGCTTAAAAAAAAAAAAAAAAAAAAAAGACCCTCAGACCGAATCGCACAGAAAACCCGCCGCAGGCGGAGTGATCCAGAGGGTCGGTGTAAAAGGGCAGACAGGTGACAGAGGAGTCCCTGCGTCGCCGCACGAGAATGCGAGTGGACTCAATGCCCCTGAACAGTGCACTTCCGACGGTTAAAATGGTGCACGCTGTGTTGCGTGCTTTACCGGATTTTAAAAATAGGAAGGACTGAAACAACCAACAGGGGCAAACGGAGAAAAGCAGGGCTCCTGAGCTGACGGTTAGAGAAAGCTGCGGTTAGGGCCCCAAGTACCGACTGAGCGGGAGAGGGTCCCGTGCGGGCATCGAGGATGAGAGGCGCCACAGCTACAGGGACGAGTGTCCAGGCGCCGAGCAGCACGGCTTCGACACTCGGCGAGGAGGAATGGGTGGAGCGGGAGGAAGACAGACTGTTCCCGTGTCGGTGCATTTTCAGTCTCCTGTCTCTGTCCATCACAGGGGAAAGTGGCCAACACATAAATAAGAGTACATGGGGCCCAATGACCACGTTAGTAACATTGAGTGTGTGTGCGCATGCGTGCGTGAGCGTGAGAAATGGAATCTACCTTCTGTTCAAACACTCTTGAAAACACACACACACACACACACACACAATAAAACTGACCATGGTACCACAAAGAAAGCAAATTCCAAAAGGCAGAATTAAGATAAAATTCTTATACCACAACACACTAGAATGTGACAATATAACAAAACCACAAAACAAAACCAGCTCTACCAAAATCACCTGCAGGCTCCGGGACGGCAGGGCTTTAGTGCAGGCCCAGCGCTACACCCCCAGGGCCGGTGCCCACGCCGGCGCGGAGTGGGCACAGCGGGACGAGGGGCGGGCAGTTAGCAGGAGGAGAGCCCAGGGGCTCACCGCTCCACACTTCCAACCGAATCAGAAAACTTCGATGCCACGGGTGGGTTTCCAGGAAAACAGAAATTACTCAAAGGATCTGAGAAGAGAGAATCTATGCAGACTGACTGCCAAGAAGGAGAGAAACTGGCAAATTTGAAAATTCAAAGCCAGAAATACGAGCAGCGCACGTGGAAGCCTTCCTGGCAAACTTCTCCAGGAAGATCCCGGTCCGCACACCGGCCCAGGCCCGGAGGGTCGCACGCACCACGAGTCTGCGAGTTTGCAGGTTTTGGGGGAGAAGCCTCTGCTGTACCCAGCATTTCCACCCAACAATTACCCTACAAAGGGGCTGGAGGGGGCACGCACGTGCAAGCTTCCTTTTTGCTGCAACGTGGCTAAAGGTGGAGGAATAGGGTCAGTAAAACGTCACCCGCAGGACACTGGCTCAAAAGCAGTGGTCCCTGGCTTCGCCGAAGAACGCACCAGCGCCAGAGAGGGCCAGCCCGCCGTCCAGGAGCCCTGGCTGCTGACAGTCTGCTGTCTCAGGAAGCCATCCTCAGGCACCCTCCTCTCTGATGGCCGTCCTGGAGGGCTGTCCTCAGGAGGGCCTCTCCCCTGAACTTCACAGTTGAATCCCAGCAGCCTCCTGGAGACACCCTGGCATGCCTAACAGGCATTTCGTTCTGTCCAACACAGAAGTCTCCAGCTTCCTTCTACCCCTTGGGGTTCTCCCCACCTTGGCTCAGCTGACGGTGGCTCCAGCCTCCCAGCAGCTCAGGCGGAAAGACCTGGAACTGCCCCTGACTCCTCTTTCTCACTTGGGGGGCTGGCCAGGCCACCTTCCTCTCTCCCCCAGGTTTCTACCCTCTTAACTGATCTCCCTGCCCAACCTCCCTGCAATGTATTCTCAATGCAGAAGCCAGAGCACTCTGTGCTTTTATGAAAAATATATATATTGAGATTGAATCTCTTCTGCTTGAAGCCCTCTAATGGCCTCTTGTCACCAAGGCCCTGGTGACTCTCACGCTGGCCCTTCTGTCCCTTCCTGATGTGGTCCCCTCTCACATCGTCCTCTCCAGCCACAGCGCTTCTGTGCTGTCCCTCCAGCACCCACGGGCACGATGGCCTCGGGACCTCTCCCCTTGCTGTCCCCTGTGCCAGGCCTGCTCTCCTCTGGTCTGTGCGCAGCTCATTTTCTCAGCAACCTCAGGTCCCCGTGCAGATGGCTCCCCAGGGAGGTCTCTCTGAACAACCCCCACGGTGCCCCTGCAGACTTCACTGCTCCCTGCTGCACGGCCTGCCTG